AACTTGGAGACATCTACAGATATTTCACTTTCTTTATCATCTTGCCCTTGACCTCCAATGGTCCAATGAGCAGGAGGGGCTGGAAGGTCTAACAGAGCAATATTGACTAACTAAAGGCTAGACTATTGGATGGTCGATCTTCTAATTGATTAACAAGAAATGTTACAGGAATATTATCAACAACAAGCTAAGTAACAAAGTAATGTTGACTCTATACATACAATGTACATTATAAAATAGAAAATCCATGATACAGCAAGTCCAATTGATTTGCCCCCTATTAATACTAAAGGTGTCAAGATTTTTTTTTTGACTTGGGATGGCTATATGTGTGTGGCGCTGCCTTTATCACCCATAGTGAGCAGAATTGACGGGAATTCTGGTGAAATCGATGACTTCTCAGATTAACTTTTCTCCGATCAATGCCATGGAAAGCTTGAACATAGCTGGGATTTCCCCCAATTCCCAACACAACACCCGAACCTCTGCATCCAATTTCACAGGTAGTTTAACTCTAATCCCAGTCTTGGACATCTATACTTGTAAGTGACTGTAGTTCGGTGTCATTATTACTATGGAGTCCTGACCATCGGTATTGACATAGAACGGCTAGACTGGTTTTGCTTGGTCAGCAACAAACCAAGGCAAGAGGCTGTTGTAAGTGAACAAACATCAATGGATTGGAATGTGTTTTTGATTCACTGAGAAGATATAAAGGAAGTTCTATATATCAAAAAGCAAAAGAAAGTACAGAAATATTTTTTTCTAAATAGGGGCATAAGGTGCTCTTACCCTTGGGAGTATAAAGAGAGACAAGCATAGCATTTTGCTTGACCACTGATGCTACCTTAGAAGTTTGCTCCTTTCATTGACCACCTGTTTAACTTTCATTTCTTTTCTCATGTACTCTTTCTAATCCTGAAAAAGAACCGTTGCAATGCTACAGCACTGAAGTTGATATACATGTTGGAGAGACAAATTTATCACGACAGGTTCCTCTGACCTATTTCACAAGAATGCAGGCATGTCTTTGGAAGTATCAGTTTCAAACAATGTGTTTCTTCAACTGGCCTGACACTGTATACAAAAACTCACCCAGGGTCAGGGAAGGAATCTGGAGGGAACTCCCATCCCGATAGTGGAACTCCCCCCTCCTCTTGGCATTCCAAGACTCCTGGACCAGAAATTGTGTTTTGTATACAGCACGTCCATTTGGAAGTGGTTTGTCAAACAAAAAGGTTTCTTCCACAGTGGTGGAGATGTAGAGCTTTAATTCAAGACTAGTGCTCACTTTGTACAAGTCCAATTCTCATGCCAAAGTTCATGAACATACATGTACATCTAATGTAGATGTTACTGTTATTGAACATTATAACAAGATTATTCTTATTTTAAAAAAAAAATGAGAATAATTCCCTTCATTTCATCCTGGAACTTATTAGGTTCCAGGAGTTTTACCAAACAGTTGGCACTACTCTCTGAGTCTCTTCACAGATGAGAGTGGCAAAGATGATGATGATGATGACAACTCTCCAAGCAGATGTGGTAAAAGGTTAAAATGTTTTCTGGCAACCGGACTTGTCTGACAGTCCTTTGCTCCATCTGTTTGGAGAGTACAAGTTAGCACTACCCTGGCGACATGCACATATAAGCAACATCTGTTTGATACCCACAAATAACTTAACAATGATACTAGTACAATAATCTTTGAAAAGTGGGCTAACAGGAGTTCAGAGACCATGTGCCTGGTACCTCCTAAATCCCCAGCTGCAACTGAGAGCCCTTATCAAGATGAAGACATCCTTGAACCATTTTGGTCTAGTGGGAGGTTCAAACAATAACATGTATATCAGGTATATGCCTGTGGGAGGGGGGCAGTCTGGGGCAGGATGCCTCCCCCTAGCAGTAGCCAGCCTACACCTGCAGACCAGAAGGTGTTGAATCGGAAAGGGCAAACCACTGAATAAGTTATCTTGCCTAACCTCTGTAACAAAGATATTGAATGGCATAAAAACAATACTCGTAGTGCTAGAAGTATACATTATCGAAATCATTGTACTGTCTGCATACAAACGATCACTGTTTTTGTTTACATGCAAATTATTTAAAGAAATATGCAAATTATTGGTAGGCAAATCAGCCAACCGTCATTCGCTTTTTGCCTACCACTCTTTGGCTGTGAAGTGATAGCGTTCACTCTTATAGCCTGTACCGTATGTATAGATACAATTGTGAATGAAATATGGTACATGTACATGTATCAACATTTCAAAACTTCCATTGTTAAGTTCAATCAAAACCATTACTGTAGGGATGGATCACTACCATTATTTTTTTCTCAAATCACCAAATTTCTTGATTAGCCATGACAAAACTGTTTACTTTTTCCTGCCTTGTCCCAGCTGTAGACATGGGGCAGCTATGCCTGCCATCCACAGGGGAGGGTTAGCCTGACAAGAACCAGCCTCAACAAACTACACCCAGGACATTCCACAGAAAACCTCACATGGAGGCATGCTGGTCTTGTCCCGCTTGCAGAAAATATGTGCAAGTTACAACAATTGTGTCTGTAATTAATAACAATGATGTACATAAAAATAACAATTCCATAACCAACAATAATTTCATATAATCACAATTGGTATTTGCTCATTTCTGGAATTCTACCTCTGATATGATTACGACTTCACACTGATCAGATTTTCAATAAAATTTCCCATCAGAAAACATTGGCTTTGTATGAATATCTGTCTGGGACATCTATACTGGTTTCGGCTGTGATATCAATGACTTATGAGTCACATCCAATACTACAAATTCTATATATTGGTGGTTGCTTTGATAGCAAGAAGAATATATCATATGCGATGTTGAGTCTAGCCAGACAACCTACGAATCCGGTCCTAATCTGCAGTGATATACACAAGTAGTTGATCACCTTCACTATCACAGGGTGGATTAGCTCTAACTGGGTCAGCATCCAGCCTAATTCAATTCCACAGAAGATCTAAATCTGCATTGCACCAGGGACATTGCTATTTCTAGCTCTGGACCAAAATGAAATCATACACAAATATGTATGTATTAACAAGACTATTGCTGAACTGTTATTTGTTAAGTGTCAATAGAACTATTGCAAATTTAATATCAAGACCAAGTTCATATGTATCTGTCGGGCAATATTCTTACCTCATAATACAAACAATGGCATTTGAACTACATTAACATAAATGACATCATTGTTGTCATATTTTATTTGCCTCCTCTTGTCTTGTAGCTAAGTACAATGTAGATCTAGTAAGTCCATTTGTTAGATAGGACAATCTCTTAGTCTTATAAAATGTTCCTGGATGCTCTTACAGTCTAGTACTTCTATAACGTTATAATTAATGCTCAAGAGGTCACACAGGCAAGCACTCATCAAGAAATAGTGCCTGGCTATGCCTGACAACGACCTATTTCAAGTTCATGGTCTTGTTATTTAGTAGTCCGAGCTATACCATACTTCCTGTCTGCTGACTTTGTGGCATAATATATCTGATCTTAAGGCTTCACCCTTGCACAGTGACTGCTGCCCCTTTGCCCAGCAACAGCACTGCTGCAGATTGCCTATTCATCTTATCGCCAGAGGTTCATTCTTCCAAAGTGGTGTGATCATGATAAAGTCTTCCATCAGTATGCCAGGCTGCTGCAGTCTTCCACTGGTGTGTCCGGCTGTTTTCCGGGACTTAGGCGCGCAACTTGGCAGCATTTGGACATTGTTATTGTTAGCAACTTCTTTCAAATAGATTTTGTTGAGTCATGGCATTTGCATCCTCATGGAATAATCATACTGAGTATTTTCTCCCATATGTCATTTTGTAGATGACTTAAGGCTACCAATACACAGTATGAAGTCACATAATCATTATGCGGCTATGATACTATAATGGTCCGTATCACTTGTCAGCATGAAATCGTAATTCTAGCAGCTCAAAACATGAACACCAGGATTTGATAACACATTTTGATCTGGGTTATGACTATGGATATACCATATCACAACAAACTGTGCAATATTTTGATATGATTATGCAACATACAGTTCCATACTCAATAGAACCAACAGTAAAACCACAAAGCAGCATTCATGGACAAAGAAAACAAAATTTTCATCCAGACTGGCAGATTTAGGGCCAGTCTTATAATAAAGAAGCTATATCAACACATAACAAAATAACTGTTTGTTGTTTATGTTTGTTTTTCACAGGTGGATGATGATCCACAGACAAACAAGGAAACAAACAAGGAAACAAACAAGGAAACAAATGCTCATCAACCAGAAATGGAGTGCCATATGTCATGATGACCTAGCACTATGAAGATAATCAACAATATCGTCTACAACAAGGGTCTATGTGTTTCTTTTGGTACAGTATGTCTTTAACTTTAGTTTAAGTACTTGTGATATATGAAACTGAAGTGAACTGATCGTACCAAAGGTCGCATGTGATAGACTGACCCACATATACCAAACCCCAAACACCAGTGTTTACCCAACACAGGATATTATTTTCAAATCGGACATCTTACTATGACCCCTCGCAGAGTTTGAACGGCGCTCTATGCCCTCAAACCCCATATTTTCTAGATATATGATGTACAAGGAACGTGGCTGTATCGTGGATCTACGATACTGGCAGTATGTCTTGTCTGTGCCATAAATTTTAATCAGAAACCTGTCCCAAAAACCAGGTGGCGCGTCATCTCTAACTTAGACCGGAGGCCGCCCTCCCACCCTAGAACCATAAACAAATGGCTAAACTAGCTCGTCAACGTCGCGTTTCGGAAGGTGCCAGACGAATTCCAAGCCGTCTGGGGTATCCAGGAAGTTTTGAGGAGTGGGATAAAGTAAACAAGAGAAGTTATATCGAGCTGAGAGCGTGCTGGCATCCGGAAAACTCCCCGGTTCACAACGCACGTTTTTCACTATTTGGTGCCAAACGATTTGTATCACTCACCTAAGTCTTCCATTACTTTATTTCTGGGCATCAAATTCCCTCAGAAATCAGCTCGACCGTCGGAGAAATCCCTCTGCTTCGGTTCTTCAAGGTAGATTCTTCGGAAGACCACCAGAAGTTCGTATTTTCCAGAACAATTTTCCGGAAGTTTTCTATCCGCTGCGCTATTTTCCACCCACTGGCACTTCTGTCGTCCCAACTTTACCGGTCACGTGACGAGAAGTGACGTCACGAAAACCACGCCCACCTGGGCAACCCTTGTGTGACCAAATATGGCATGGATGTAAAATATCTTTGAGAGGAATTCTTTATTTTTCTCCGGTGTCTTTAAGGAATGATCAAGGTTATCCAAAATTCAATTGGACTTTTACACAATTACAGATAGTTTCTGCATAGTTTATGTTATAAAATGATGGAGAATGTGTGTTGCTTAGTTGATGTTTCGGCAGGTGGTTCTTTTACAAGTTAATGATGCAAAGTGAGCCCAGAAGTTCCCACATACCCGATTTAAAACTGATAAGAACTTTCTGGTAAGAAACAACCTGTCAAAGATCTCAAATTATACAAGGGTATAACATGTATATGCAATTTGGTAGCAAGTTAGGGTTGAGTTGCAAAACTTGAGTGTCATAAAATGCCAATGCCATCCAGTCATCATAAAAAATAACACACCTCTTCAAGTATAATAATTTCTAATGTAAGTTGACTCTCAAATTTCATATTCAGAAATAATCAAGCCAGTGTGGCTGGCTCTGACTTTAAAAAGCCACCATGACCCTGGGTAACCCTGGCAGGAAGTTTTCTATTTCCCAATGAACCAGTTTCTCCGGAATGTGACCTTTGGCAAAGCAACCGTCACAAGTCTTTCCTTCTTTTCCATTTGGAGTAAAAGAAGAAATTCTTCCTGTGACTTATCACCCCAAGAATGTACAAGAAGAACAAGTAGTTCCCTTATACTGATGGGTCTAAAAAAACAGGCATTTCAGCTGGGGGATATTGGAGAATAGTTGCCACTTGTCTGAATTTTATTGTTAATATTAGTGCTGAATCTTTATTTTAACAGTCTTAGAAAAGTCAGTCATAATTCAAGGGTCAAAGCACAGGTCTGCTTGTGTGGGGCGGTTGCAATGTCAAAATACAAATGATTTTTATATGGATGTTAGTGAAGATATCTCTCTATGTAATAGAATTCAGTCCTTGCATCATCCACACATTTTTGTACCAGTCCTGCAAATGACTGATCTGACCTACATTTTGATGATTACTTGTATTAAAAGCCCTGTGTCAGACTAATGAACATATAGTATTGGTCTCATTAGACCAACCATTATATTGCTACATGACACGCAGGCAGCCATTTAAAGTAATAAAAAAATCTCTCAACCTTCATACAGGAAGGATAAAGGGTCGACATTTGTATGAGATATTAACTGCGCCATCCTTGTGTTGGCCTTTGTTTTACCCAAGGTAATCAATGACACAATTTTTCAAAGGAGACAGAAAATCTGTCTTTGTCAAGAGTTTGACCCCCATAAAGAATGGAATTGTCCCCATCCCCACACTTAACCTGTGCAGGACATACATAAACATTAAATGCTGCAAGGAGAGAAGATTAACTGTTTTTGGCAGACTCGACTGAACCAGCGGCCTTATATCAAGTCAAGCTTACTAGTCTGTACCATTGTTTTAGTATCCTTTCCAATTGAGTACAATTCTCAATTTTTCATTTCTCTTCCAAGAACCTTTGAAGTCAACTCAGTGATGAAGAAAAATTCATGGAAGTGACTTGTCCGGAAATAAAAAGGTACATTTGATTGACCTTTTAAATCGGAAATGGCTGATTTCTGGTTTTCATAAAACTTTGCACCAAGAAGTTTGAGAGAAGCCTTATGATGCTAACAGCTTCCAGATGAACCTGAGTGGTGACAGAGCTGACGGTCACTTGAGGTCAAGGCAGCTGAGAGTTCGTTGAACTTGACTGTCATGAGAGTACATGAGAGGATTCCATTACCAGCTTAGGTGCCTTGAAAGAACTAGCACGAGGACCCAAGATGGTGACCTTTTTAGATCTACAAGACATTCAAAACGGTCACAAACATTCTTCCCAAATATTGCAATCCAACACATAGCAAGACAATGTACATGTATTTCTTCCAGTGATAATGTTTCAAGCCTGGAAGAACTTTGTCATTGGACTTGAGCCTCTAGACAGATCAATGATTACAAATATCTTGGTAACATGATTCTAAATAAAAGAATTGTCTGATTCAGTCTACATGGGAAAATGTTGGAAAATATACAGCTGGGCAGGTGTTACGTGTCAGTTACATGTATAATATAATGGGAGTAAAACGGTTCTCAGGGTGAGTTTCTTTGGCCTGTTCACCATCACAGTTCTTCATGATGAAAGTTGTGCTTCGACAAATTTCGACAAACTAACAAATTCAGAAATCATTTTGCAATTTGCACTGCATATTCAGGGATGAGTTCTCACTTTTAGACATAGAAATTTACTGAATAAAGACTTCATTTAGCCCACAAGACAAGCTGTACCTCGTTACAACAACAATTAGGTCAAATGCGATAATGTAAACAGAAATCTGCAACAATCAGAACGCAGCTTATTGATTAAATCCACTTTTGGAGGCACTAAAACTTCTTCATGCATCATCTGTTCCCGGCTTCAATGGCATTTATCGGTAAGGACATAACACCCCATTCCAGATCAATTTGTTGTCCCTCCCTCTACAGCCATTATGAAGAATAAACGAGCGTTGGGTAATTGCCTGCCTCTTGTAGCTCACAACTACCCAAGACGGATTGGTGATGGAACAAAGAGGACATGGAGAAGCCGCTGACAGGATTTATTTTTGGGGGATGCCGAGTCTCACCTAGGGGACCCCTATTTCTGCAGGATGTGACAGATGGGAGAGGCATGGTGTACACAGAACCATCAAGCAAACCCGGCTCACAGCTCTCATTTGAGGCGTGAAACCTTTGAGCAAGGAGTGCTGTAAGTTTGTACTTGCTGATCAGTTACAAATAATTATTAGACTTGTGCTCAAAGTTTTCAAACAAAATAGAATAGTTTTGGGGCTATTCCATTAAGATGTTCAAGGGGTATCAGGATAATAGTTAAACATGACAAGCAAGATTGGTCTAAAATCAACACTAATTTTATCCCCTTAAACTTGACAAATGGAATAACCTTTAGTAAATGTATTAACATGGTATATATAAATTTTGTGATCTATCCACTAATACATGAGCTTGACCGTTCAACTGGTCCAATATCCACCTATCATAACACTGAAGCCCAATGAAGTATGAAGTACATTCTCCAGTGTTGGACAGACGTCACTGTTGATAATAGGTGCTTCTGACATGTTCCATTGACAAGTAGAATATACAAAATTGGCTCTGCAAGGAAAATCTCTCTTTAGACCAGCTGTTGTATTTCTTAATTAAATACGGCCTCTAACAAGATGTTTTGCTGAAGTGCTATGCACAATACATTATGGGTTGTTTGTAACAGTGGGGATCAAGTGCCACCAACTGACCAGTCCAACTGGTCCAGACCTTTTGGCCTTGCAGTTGGTGTGTTGAGTTTGCCTGGGTTCGAATCCCAGGAGCCAGGAGACCGTACTACATGCCCCTTGACTGTTACAGCAGTACAATTTTACCAATGTGCTGATTCCAATATTACACAACTTCAAGAGGATCCTTGTCAACATCTGACACCATCACCTCAACCTTCCCATCAAACATTGCAGTCAGCTTCCCCTGCAACACACGTAGGAAACCCCTCTCAGTGTTGCTGTGTTCGCACAGGATGACACTCGTTCCCATAGCAACAGCATCCAGCACATCATGATGAGACATCTCCCCCGTCAGGTAAGCATCGGCTCTGACCCCCTTCAGCACACTTCCACCTGAACCAGCACACAGGGCAACACTTCTCACTGTGGGACCTGGGAAAACAGCAGACATTCATGTAAAACTTTTAGAGTTTAAGTTGGTCTGTTAAGTTAACACTTGCAGACAGTGTCATGAGAAACAAGAACTGGCTTGCCAAATGTGGTGGAACCTGGAAAAATAGGACATACATGTATTCATTAAACTTTTACAGTTTCAATGTTGGTCTGGTGAAAGAAAATGTTTGATTTGATTGGAAGAACTTTCATGTAACATTAGAACCAGCTGACACCACCGTAGTTCCTTTTTAAAGTTTTCTATACATGTACTTAACACTTGCAGAAAGTGTCACAAGAAACGAGAACAGACTTGCCAAATAAAGTGTTTTACACAGGGTGACATAACATTTAACCATAACCAACGATGTAGCCTGGAAGTAATTTCTGAGCCAAGCGATCCAGTGTGGTCCGGAAGTTTTCATCCCTCTGCGGCAGATACTAGATTACCTCTGACCAAACATCAGACAATATATGCACCATTAAAGATCAGGTTCACCAGCAAGAATTCTGCGAGATGAAATCCATGTTTTCTCTAATCAAACCAGTAAGTTACGGTGCTTGTATTTGCCAAGAAATGTCACAGGTTGTGCACATCAGTGCTGACCCAGACTGTGGGAAGTTATAGGTCAGGAGAAGTCGAAATTTAGTAGGAGTTTTTTGTGGGGCGGATTATGTGAAGGGACAAGATGATTGATGAGTTAGCTTAACAACAGTTTAAGACCTTAACAGTTGATTCAAAAATAGGACTGTGGAAAACACTTTAATACCATTGAAAAATGGAGTGCAGACAACACTTCTATTGGAAGTAATTTTTCACATTTAGGAAACAGATGGGACATTAACTTTGTTACCAAAGTTGGCAACAGTTTTTAGCATACAGGTGCTTTTAACTGAAAAGACTGAAACATTGTCAAAGAAGGGCACTCTTTTTCTTTACATGGAATGTGTGCTATTTTGGGCAAATAAATATTTCATTGATGCAAAAACAAAGTCCCCAGACAACAACAAACTGTATCACAACTCAAACAGGTGTTTAACATTCAAATGATTTCAGCCTCGGGGGTTGGGGTTGCATTAAACCTAAACAGTGAACGCTTATCACAAAACAGTCTTAATAGGATTTAAGACGGCCAAGTCTTAGAAAAACAAACATTTCTGAGCCAAGAAAACTTGATTTATCCTGAAAGCTGGTTATTTAGTATCCAAAAAGTGTTTCTGTTACAGTTCAGAGGACCTGTAAGTCAGGTTTGGAGGGATTCTACAAATCACTCGGGCTGGGGACCAAGGATCACTTCAGTAGGGTGGCCTGCCACAGTCTAAGTTTGAGAACATCTAAGCATGTGCAAATAGCTATTCTTCATGAAGATGACAGGATACAACAAGAAACATAAATCTTTCTACTTTCATCTATAAGAGTTCTAACATTCTGCTTGCTGCCAGGACACAAAACTGATACAAATTTGGTACCAAATGGCTACCTTAGCAGGCTGAAGGTTAAAGTGTCAGCCTCCCAAAGCTTAGTGTACTATCAACCTTCTCCAAACCTTTGCATGTTATGGTCAAATACACTCAGCACATCAGTGTTCTAGGTTACAGTTGAGACAAGAGGGAGATGATTAAGAGCATCCCTAAGGCGCATAGTTCTAAACCATATCATAACATTACTACCACTTTCTACCCAATTATTTCAACTCCCTTGGCGTAAGTTCTTAGGCATACAACAACACAACCTAGCCATGGTTGTCTTCAACCTACTTTACCCTCTCTGCAGTTTCAAGAGGGCCTGCATGGGGGGTAGACCGTAGTAATTAGGATTTACGCAAAATTTTCACCGTCGATTACGAGCTGATTATGAACAGTTACGCGTTACAGCTAAATACTGATTACGAATTACAATGTTTTTGGGCGGATGCCTACGGATTAGGAGGCATCATAAAAGGTCGGATTATGCCTTATGAAAAAGGGCATGCAGGCCCTCTTTAAATTCTCCGAGCACTCTGGTGTCAAGTTCAAGGCGTGTGCGTGTTTCCATGGTAACCGCTGGGGCCACCTGCAGCAGCCTGTTGTCATCACTGCCGCCATGACAGATGGACAGGTCACCCGAGGTCACCGTGAAGTTTATTTGTGGCGACCTCTGCCATTACTCCAGGGTTACACAGCAGTACCCAAGACAGGAGTTAGTGACCCTCGTCTTGTAGAAAGAAAAACAGGGTCTGGGGAAATCCTGCAAGCCCAGGTGTAGCACAGACTGATGCCAAGGAATGGGAAAAAATTGAGTTGCCGTTCCCTCTTAAGTTTGTCATATATGCAGCCTGTACCTGAAACATCTTCATCAATGTTAACTTGTTAGAAAAGTTAATTCTTATTATTGAAGAACATAGCTACTAGAGAAAAGCATCATGCTGGTTCACCTCAGCTTGATGAGGACAACTGAAGATGACAAAGAATTGTTAAGTTTAAGCATTCCCAAGTAGCCAAGACCTAGGCTTCAGATTAGTCTTTCCAATGCTTGATAGATCAACCACGTGACATAGCCCCACCCATCTCATCAAACTCAAACTGTAGAAATGTCAAACAAAAACAAAGCATTGCATAAATTTGACATGCAGATGTACTCTAATGTTCTTGGTTGAACTTGAACTGTGTGTGAATGTCTTAATTGGCATCTCATAGTTTTGGTACGTTTTACAGTAGGTTCTGAAATGCCTCTTGTTCTACAATGTCCACTATCTTGGTTACCACTACTGAAAAATGTGACCAACAGCTTTTTTACATCAGGATGGACAGGTAGACCCAGATGGCAGACAGCCAACACCTGTCCACATTCCCCAGGGTAAGACCTGTCTAGAGAGTTAATCATCACTCCAGCCTGGAGAGGAACAATTTGCTGACAAGCTGTGACAGATGTAGAAGAAATACTGCACAACTCTGAAGCACTTGACTCAGTAAAAGAGGACCATGGCCTCTGGTCAGGCCCATGCAGCCTGTGCATGAAGTCATGTTGTCCTTTCAACATCTGTTTATCCAGATGATTGTCAATGATTGCAGATTTGAATGGACTTGAATTTTTGGCTTCAAGATTCATTCCAAATTTTTCAAATGAATAGTGCTATTTCTCAATTCAGATTGTATGTCTCAAAATGGGATGGTCTTATATTTAGTAGCACTGATTCAATGATTTTACTTTGAGGGAGCACGAATTTGAAGATCTACCCCCAACCACTGTATGATTGTATCAGTGCAAAATACCATCTGTGTATCTGGTACACTCTCATGTCCCATGATGATGATCCACATGTAGATGTTGGTCTTACTTTAGTACTGAAATGATTTTGTCATGTATTAAAGTGAGTATGAACTTTAGAAACCATTCCTTTAACACCTCCTCTGTATCAGTGGGAAGTACCATCTGTATCTGGTACACATTCTCAGGTCCCATGATGATGATACACGAAGAAGTTGTCATACTGAAATGATTTTGGAACTTGAGGAACTATTCCTTTAACACCTCCTCTGTATCAGCGGGAAGTACCATCTGTATCTGGTACACATTCTGAGGTCCCATGATGCATGAGGTGTGGACAGATAACGGACAGCTTTGTCCTTCAGGGGTCAAGGTCAACAAACTGGTTCCATCCTGCTGAGGTCACGGATCGGATCGCAAGATGGTCCCAGCTTGGAGCACGTCCTGTCTCTTAACCTCAAATTTAAAACTGCTTTCTGGCTACTGACTGGAAAATAACAGAGGGGAGTCTTCATAGCTAAGTTTCCTGTTTCAACTTAGCCTGAGTCAGCTTTCGTCTGCTACCGGGCCCGCGTAGTGGGGAGCAGACGAAAGCTAAAAAGGCTCACACTCAGGCTAGTTTCAACTACTGTTGAGGGGAGAGTTGTTACAGAGATTTCATGGCTTGAAAGTCTGCAAAGTGATTGGTTAAACCTGAAAATGCCAGCCTCCAATTAATATACATGTGTTAGTTCAAAATTTGAACCTCACCTTCCAAGGTCCTGCCCTCCCCCACAGCCAGTCTGACATGGTTCAGTCCCAGATGAGTCTTGACCCTAGATAGCAGGTCAGATAGTGTGACAGGGTCATCCAATGTCACCAGCCGTCCCATTCCGGCACCTGGGAGGGGGGGCTGGAGTTATGGAGAGACGTCAAGTTCACACCATAGTTCAACTACCTGTTGATTGAACTTGAAGAACCGTTTAGGAATACATGTACCCTTTTTAAAAGGCTGACAACATATACTGCACTTTTCCAGCCAGAAATTACTAAAACAATGATACGGTAAACTAAGCATACCATGATGAACACTACTCCTTTTGTTTGTTAAGTGTTTGTATAAAATAGTATTACAGAGTACAGAGAAAGAAAATCTTGATATGAAAAAAATTGTAACTGTGAAAGTTAAATCATTATAATTTTTAAGAACTTTTTATAATTACCTTCTCTAGTTTCATCACTTGAAGACTTGTGTCTGCCTTGTCTCCAAGAGTTTGATTGACACAGTCAACAGCCTGTACCAATGCATGCTGGGAACACCTCATGTTGATCCTGGTGCAGCTGCCACCACTCCTATTAAAGAATGGCAAAGAATGTGCCTGAAAGTTATTGTCAAGTCTCTTCCTTCAATGAATTTAGACTTTTTTCAATTTAAACCCCTCTTCCCAAGATTAATAATTGGTTTATAATCATGATTCCTTATGGGATGTCATGTATGGATACCCAGCGTTAAGGTTGCAATCAATTAATGAGCTGGTACATGTCCACATTGATATTCTTGCCTAAAATTCCACTATATTGTTAACAGACTAATTGCAACTACCTTCTACTAGTCATAGCCTAGGTGCCATCCTTCATAGTTACTACTGACCACCTGTTGTTACTAGCCAACACCAAATGAGAAGGATGGCACCCAGGATAACTACAGCACCCAGCTATTACCACAGTAATACTGCAGACAGACCCTGTGGTGATGTCCTGTGTGGAAACTTCTCCTTGCTGCAGAGCTGCAAGTTTCTCCTGCAGAGCCTCTGCAGCCGACTTGTCAGCAAACACCTCTAACAGGAATCCATGAGGGGGCGTCTGTACTGATGCCTCCAGAGGCTGGACCTGACCAGCACCTGAAGGAAAAAACATTCAAACTTTTAACTTAGCGATGATGTCAACTTGTTTGTTTGTTTCTTAACAGACTAGGTCAATTAGAATGGATTTTCATTCGGAGGAAAGACCATTCAAACTTTAATTGTAATAGCCATTCATAGACAATGCCAACTCTAAATACTTGATAAAATATTGAGATTACTTCTGGATTTTTTGAGTGACATCCAGCTCTCTTCTTCAGCATCACTGTTTTGAACATGAGGTACAAAAGCACACCCTGGTGCACAGAATCAGTACTGCATATATGCTGTCACTTACCAGTGCATATCACACTAAAATAGATACATTGTTCCAAGTTTCATGAAAAGGAGTCATATTTCTCTCTCTGTCCCTGTAACATCTTCATCCTTCATCACCTTTCCCTCTGAACAAAATCCATCTTAGGCATCTTACCCAAGCCCGCTGTCGTTTACGCCACCTTTCACGGCATCGTGCGTGGTGTGCGGGGAGTACACAACAATATTGGTCTGTCTATTTGGCCTGACAGAGACTACATAACATCTATCGTTATAACATCTTCATCACTTTTCCCTCTTGACTTACCCAAGCCTGTTGCCAGCCAGTCATTTACGCCTCCTTTCACGGCATCGTACGCGGTGTGCGGAGAGTACACAGCGATTCGGTTCTCCAGACACCGAACCGCGATCCTCTCCTTCCAGCTCCTCTGTGTCAGCCTCTTCATGGGGACAAAGATGGGAGGGTGGTATGACAAGATCAAGTTCGCCTTCCTCTCTACAGCTTCCGAAAGAACGCCCTCTGTCAGATCATTTGTAAGCAGCATCCGGGATACCTGGTTTTGAAAAAATAAAGAGAACTTGTAAATATGTAAATAGGAGATGGAAAAGGAAAACAGTAGAGTATGAAAACAAACAAGGAAAAGAAGAGAAGAAGAAACCACCACTGACTGACTTGAAGCCGGCCAATTGGAAGAAGTAACGGGAGCATGAGGCTCACTAAAGATGACTATAGCCTCTACCAGGCTTTGGGAGATGGCTGAAAAGAGTAGAAATCGGTCAAATAGTGAGCTATAACATGCCAAGGGAGTTGGTCCACTAGAGAGTACTCGAAGCCTGGTAGAGGCTAATATGAGTACAATGCAGCAGGGAAGAGAGAATGCATGAGAGGATGTAGCACACAAGAACATGTGACCATCACCCGACAAGAGAGAGCAGAGGAATAAAGACAACAACAACCTGATGGGGTGGGGATGGTTCCACTAAGAGGCCGACGTTATCCCAGCTCTCAGCTAGACTTGGAGGAGCAAAATTGTTCAGCGCACTCACAACATTTGCTAAGTCTGCCATTTTGGATGACACAGTTGTGGAGAGAGTCTTTGCACTGAGTTTCTGTGGTTGGAAGTGTTTAGGTGGAGTGTTTTTACTCAAAGAACTGAAAAACCTGCAGCAAACTGTTCTACCAAGTGACTTCCTCCATAGCATCCTTCTCCACATGCTCTTATGTATTCAACTTTGACCTCAGTAGCAGACGACACCAAATTTACTTACATCGTTTACCATTGGTTGGAGCTGACCAATCAGGGAAGACTTAATATAAGTAACCAAGATGGCGCTGTCGTCCCACTTCCGGGTTGCCCTTCTTGCATAAGAAGAGCATTTTTATGTCTTTATGTAACGTTTAAGAGTACCTTTGGAGTATATTTTTACGTTTTTGTGGTTCTCAAGATGCAGACTATAGAAGCAGTGAGTATGTTGTTCCGATCTTTACGGAATTTGAGCAGAGAGGCGCCGCTTCAACTTTTGCCGGTACGTTGCCAGTCAAACGCCACAAGTACAGAGGTCAACACAGCTGCAAATTTTCACTTCGTGCCAGTGAGCGATCCCGCCGACTTACAGGACATCGAGGAACTACAGGACTTCGTGAGGACGTCCAAAAGGCTCTTCGTGATCACCGGTGCTGGTATATCCACGGAATCGGGAATTCCAGACTACCGGTCGGAGGGGGTGGGTCTGTACGCACGGAGTGACAACCGTCCAGTCCAGTATGCCGACTTCCTCAGCAGCAGCGCCATACGACAACGCTACTGGGCAAGGAACTACGTCGGGTGGCCGAAGTTCTCTTCCTTCTCGCCTAACGTTTCCCACAAGACGCTGAGCGGTTGGGAAGCGGTCGGTAAGCTGCACTGGTTGGTCACGCAGAACGTGGACTCTCTTCACGTCAAAGCAGGGAGCAGGAAAGTCACGGAACTTCACGGCAGCGCCGCGCGGGTCATGTGTCTGTCCTGCCCGGCCGTCATACCTCGTCACGACATGCAGAAGCGGATAAAACATCTCAACCCGGTCTGGCACGCGGAGTCTCAGGAAATGGCGCCGGACGCAGACGTTTTCTTGACACCAGAACAGATAGAAGGTTTCACCGTGCCCACGTGTACGCAGTGCGGTGGGATTCTGAAGCCTCAGATCGTGTTTTTCGGAGACAACGTGGCGAAGCCGACCGTCCAGTTCGTGCACAGGATGCTGGAGGAATCAGACGCCATGTTGGTGGCAGGGTCGTCACTTCAGGTAACGTATAGAGTCGATGATAACTATGACAATTTTTTTTATCCACTATGTATGGAGTTTAGTAGCGCCCCGGGCGGATGTCCTTATTACTGCAGTATCTTGTCCAGAAATGGTCCCTGTCCTTGGTGCTGGAATGTGATCATGGCGGGCATCTACAATATGATGATGCGTCCCATTGCCGTGACCTTGCACGAAGCCTGAAACTAAAGCATATGTATTTATATTTGTGTAAATAACGGCGACTTTGTGGGCTTATTTTGTTGTTTAACGTTCAGGATATGTATACATCTCTAGACTCTGCCGACTTCACACAATACCACTTCACCTGGCTCCGTTTCTGTTTTCCTTTTCAGGTTTCGCTTTTAACATAGAGCGTACCAATACGTTTTTTGCCGGAATTTTACAGTCATGTTGTTGTTTGTCCTCTCCAGGTGTACTCGGCCTACAGGTTCGTGTCGGCTGCGCGGGACCAGAAGAAGCCGATCGCCGTCCTGAACATCGGGCCGACCCGCGGGGACAAACTGGCCGACCTCAAGGTCAGCGCGCGCTGTGGAGACGTGCTGCCGCAGATTCAACTATGACCTCAGAACTGATGTAATTACTACGCAACAAGCTTCAATTAAGACTTTCAGAAAAGATTTTATTTGAGTGAAGCAATAGCAAACTTGCTGTCATACTGTGGGGAGGTAAACTCAGAACTCAGGGAACGATCAAGTTTCACAGAGCAGATTCTTGTTTTTTCCTCATAACAGCTCAAAGGAAGGTTGATGTTTGTAGCAATATTGTCATTAAGTATGCCCTGTAAGATGATATTAACAGCAGGCAAGTGAAGCCAATGCAATTGCTGCTATGTCTACAGATTGATTTAGCAATCACACAATAAGTCAGAAAATAAAAATGACCACAGGTATACTCTGTGTGTTGCTTACATCTTTTGTGCATTGTTTTATCAGGTTATGGACAGAACCAGTTATAAGAAGATGGTTGATGTCAAAACAATACAGACCTAATAAAAGTTAACAGTTTGGTACAACGTCCTCGCTGTCCTCATGTGGTAGTTCGTACCCGGCTACGAAAGATTCTCTCCTGGCGTACTTCTTCTTGTTCTTCTCCATGACGTTGCGAAGTTTGTCGTGTATCCATCCACAGTCCCGGATGGTGACGGCGGCGTGCGCCCGCCTGAGGTGTTCCACCTGCCGCCCCACGTCCAGCCACTCCCTCCGCTCCGGGTCCAACAGCTCGATCACGGAGGCGGTGTACTCGTTGAAGTGATCCTTTCCGCCGATGACCACGATTTTCCCGTCGATGGCAGTCATGCCGCCATGAATGTGCCTGTGTTCGGGCATTGGGAGCTGCTCGAATTCCATGGTTTCTGTATCGAAGACGCACATGAAGTTACGCGCAGTCACGAAAGGCATCAGGTAGATCTTGGAGCCGAGGACAGCGCTCTGGTACTGCGGTTTACCAGAGTGAAATGACGCCACGTCGTAGAATTCCCACGTGTCTATATCAGAATCGTACGTTTGGACATAAAAGTTCTCGTGCCGACCTTCCCAGTAGCCCATGACCACGACTTTGCCCTTACACGAGGACGTGACAGTTTTGTGAACGGTGTGAGGCACTCGGGCTATCTTCCTCCACCGGTTGTTCCGCGGTGAGAAGGATTCGTAGCACTCCGCGCCTTTCTCGGCAGTCATGTTGGTCCCTATGGCGTAAAGTCGTCCCCCGGCGGCCACAAAACCGAACTGGCCCTGGTGAAACGTCAGGGGTTCGGGCAGGCGCAACCACAGGTCGGCAGAAGAGACATATCTCCAGAACTGCATCTCTCTCGGGTCCTCAGCTTGGCACCGCTCCATCGAGGCCAGGATGTAGATGTCGTCATCCATGGCCAGGACGTTCAGATAGCAGTTCTTGGAGACCAGGCTGTAGGGAAGGTCGGACAGGATAGCATGGGAGCATCTCCACGGGCCCAGACAGTCCATGTACCGGACTTTGACAGGCTTGTGTCCCGCCGCCTCGCTGCCGCTGATACCTCCCACCTGTACTAGTATCTCCGCAGGCAGGCGCTGTGTTCTTTGTTGGAAGAGATCTTCCTCGACTTCTTGGATGATTTCTAAACATTCAGGGTCATTTTGAATCAACGGTTCATGCCTTACGTTGAACTTGAAGTAGTCCTCAGTCATCAGACGAAGCTCAGCGCATCGCAGCAAAGCCGGTAAGAACTGGAGCCGAGTTGTGTCGGCCTTGGTCCATTTCATGACCGCTTCATACACTCTCTCTTTACACCACTGGCATCTCTCGTCGGTGAGGAAGAACAGAACCTGGTCATAGGAGAGAAGTTCAAACTCTCCCGTTCTCACGGTGTCCGGGAAGTTGTCCATGGCAAACGCTCTAGCCTCTTCTACCAGGGTTTTGCAGGAGTAGAACTCTGCAAAGTGTAAGATGCCAAAACAGTTGTCGGAGTCGAGCTGGCGCGAGAGATACTTGCAGCAGGCAGTAACGACGGAGCTGAGTTGGAACAGCGAAGCCGCGTGAAGCATAGACTCCACATTACCGTTTCTGATGTTTAGAGACCCATTGTAGAAGTAGTCTAAGAGATCGCTAACTATGTGAGAAGGTACATCGTTCAATCGGACCTGTTCGTCCTTCCTTTCTCTGAACTCTCCGAGCAGAAGCGTGGCGAAGAAAGGGCTAGATGCAGCCAGGACCGCCCGATGACAGTGAAACGACGACTCGCCGACGCACAAGACGACGTCGCATAACGTGTGCGTTGTTCTGGACTCGTTCAAAACTGTTATCGCCGGTCCCATATCAGACTGTAATCTTGGATACTTCAACTTCTTTCCATGTTCGTCCTCGGTTATAACCAGAGTGACGAGATTCTTCTCGATGCTTTTCAGAAGAGCAGTGAAGGCGGGTTCTGTAGAGTTGACCCTCCGTATCCCCTGCAGCAGACGTTGGCCGTGACGTGTTCTGTGAACTTGAAGTTCTCCTTTGTCGTCGAAGACAAGATCCAGATCGTCACTTAGAAGAGCATCTGCTTTTTCGTGCAACATCATTGTATGGGCAGAGAAATCTACAGAAGGAAAAGAACGATAACTGTTTTATTGAAAACCTACACTCGTTAGACTGATTTTTATAAGGAATGATATCTAACATGGAATGGGGAGAGGCTTTGAGCTATACCATAGTTTTTGAAGGTATGAAGTGACAATAGTACAGGCTTAATGAAATTGTTCTGAACGTATCTATTTTTGTGAAATAAACAAACGTATGCCTTTAAGAAGGCAATCATAGCTTCTTACCTTTCTAAGCAAGATAAAAGCTGCATTTTCTAAAATGACTTGAATAGTACAAAAGGCAACAAAATCCTTTGACCAAAAAGTTGAACACATAATATCACAACTCACTCTTATATGTCGGTCACTGGGACACACAATGCAACGCGTACGTACGTGATGATGTTAGTAACTATCGGTATCATTACAAACATGAAGTACAGACGTTGAACTTGGCCTGCTCTTGTGCCCTAATGTAACAATACCTTCCCAACGTTCCCTAACATCTGCCTGTGTCTGTCAGATATTCTTCTAGAGTTAGACTCCCGTCTGACCCATGGCATAAACACTACACCATACTGACATACAATCTCATCATGACATCTACATGCAACAGCTCTGGTTGCAGGTTTGGCAGACTAAACGCCGGGCGGCGGCCGGGTGTGGGTGGAAATAAAACTGGATGTGAGCTTGACTTTGACCCACTTTGCAACGTTACACTGTGTTATATCATATATCTAAGGACAGTTCTAAAGTTGGAAGAGATCAGTGGTTGTAGTGCTGTTTACGGTAGCAAGTTAACGTTACACTTAACCCAGGTGTACAGGGCGGTTGCCCAGAACTATTGTAGTGACGGCGGCACTAGGGTGGTAGTCCTCGCCCAACAGCAATATAGCAGTAATATCCGACTATAAGAAGTTTATCCATGGATAATATACACCAGAGAAAAGGAAGGTTTGCCCTCACCTGCTTAGAAATACGGAGCACTTGAGTCTTGCTTGGAAAGATCTCAGGAGATTTACTGTATTGGTGAAGGCTGGATAATGTACTTTGATGTGTCAACGAAATTTGTCTAATTTTAGCGACCAGACATTTTCAGATGAGCAGCTGGGAAGTCTCGTGACTCAAGGGATTGCATCAGGAGTACCGCATAGGAATTGTTTGATATGTGCTTTTTACATAATGTTTGGCTTATTGCCAACAAGATGATCAAGATCTAGAACATTCTACCGCTTTTCTCTGTTGTAATCAACAAGCACGACCAAAAATGATAGTCGAGCTAAGGATGTGCTTTTATTAAATCTTTTCATTACGAAATTTGGTAAAAGACAACACAATATGATTTAGAACATCTACAATGCAGGTAAACCGTCCTCCCCTTCAGTTCGAGCTAGTTCGTACCCCGCTGTGAAATCGTCCAGTTCGGCGTATTTCTTCCTGTTCTCTTCTATCGCCTTGACGAGTTTGTCGTGTATCCATCCGCAGTCCCGGATGGTGACGGCGGCGTGCGCCCGCCTGAGGTGTTCCACCTGCCGCCCCACGTCCAGCCACTCCCTCCGCTCCGGGTCCAACAGCTCGATCACGGGGCAGGTGTACGCCTTGAAATAGTCGCTGCCGCCGGTCAGGACGATTTTCCCGTTCACCACAGCCATGCCGCCGTGCAGGTGGCTTTGTTGCGGCATGGGAAGCTTCTCGAACTCCCGGCTTTCCACGTCAAAGGCGCACATGGAAAAACGTCTCCCAAGCAAGGGCATCAGGTAAATCTTGGAGCCGAGGACAGCGCTCTGGTACTGCGGTTTTCCGCAGTGGTAAGAGTCTACGTCGTAGTGCTCCCAGTTATCAGTGGAGGAATCGTAAGTTTGGACATAAAAGTTTTCGTGTCGTCCTTCCCAGTAGCCCATGACCACCACTTTGTCCTTACACGACGACGTGACGGTTTTGTGCACGGTGTGCGGCACTCGGGCTATCTTCCTCCATCGGTTGTTCCGTGGTGAGAAGGACTCGTAGCACTCCGCGCCTTTCTCGGCAGTCATGTTGGTCCCTATGGCGTAAAGTCGCCCCCCAGCGGCCACAAAACCGAACTGGCCCTGGTGAAACGTCAGGGGTTCGGGCAGGCGCAACCACAGGTCGGCAGAAGAGACATATCTCCAGAACTGCATCTCTCTCGGGTCCTCAGCTTGGCACCGCTCCATCGAGGCCAGGATGTAGATGTCGTCATCCATGGCCAGGACGTTCAAATAGCAGTTCTTGGAGACCAGGCTGAAGGGAAGGTCGGACAGGATAGCATGGGAGCATCGCCACGGGCCCAGACAGTCCATGTACGGGACCTTGACAGGCTTGTGTCCGGCCGCCTCACTGCCGCTGATGCCTCCTACCTGTACTAGTATCTCCGCAGGCAGGCGCTGTGTTCTCTGCTGGAACAGATCTTCCTCGACTTCTTGGATCATTTCGAAACATTCTGGGTCATTTTGGATCAACGGCTCATGCTTCACGTTAAACTTGAAGTAGTCCTCAGTCATCAGACGAAGGTCAGCGCATCGCAGCAATGCCGGTAAGAACTGGAGCCGAGTTGTGTCGGACTTGGTCCATTTCATGACCGCTTCATACACGCTTTCTTTACACCACTGGCATCTCTCGTCGGTGAGGAAGAACAGAACCTGGTCATAGGAGAGAAGCTCAAACTCTCCAGTTCTAACAGTGTCTGGGAAGTTGTCCATGGCAAACGCTCTAGCCTCTTCTACCAGGGTTTTGCAGGAGTAGAACTCTGCAAAGTGTAAGATACCGAAACAGTTGTCGGAGTCGAGCTGGCGCGAGAGATATTTGCAGCAGGCAGTCACGACGGAGCTGAGTTGGAACAGCGAAGCCGCGTGAAGCATAGACTCTACATTACTGTTTCTGATGTATATAGATCCGGTATAAAAGTAGTCTAAGACATCACTCACTATGTGGGAAGGCACATCGTTCAATCGTACCTTCTCGTCTTTCCTTTCTCTGAACTCTCCGAGCAGAAGCGTGGCGAAGAAAGGACTAGATGCAGCCAGGACCGCCCGATGACAGTGAAACTTTGTGTCGCCGACGCACAAGACGACGTCACATAACGTGTGCGTTGTTCTGGACTCGTTTAAAGCGGTCATCGCCGGTGCCAAGTCAGACTGCAGTTTCGGGTACTGCAGCTTATTTCCCTTCTCGTCTTCGGTTATAACCAGAGTGACCAGATTCTTCTCGATGCTTTTCAGCAGATCAGCGAACTCGCCCTCCTGGTTAGCGTTGATCCGGCGTACCCCCTGCAGAAGACGTCGGCCGTGGCGGGTGTCACAAACTTGCAGTTCTCCTTTGTCGTCGAAGACGTAGTCAAAGTCATCACTAGGGGCGTCTGCTTCCTCTTCTGACATTGTGTCCGATACCTGTAAAAGATGATATTGTACATGGTAAACGATACAGCAAGGACATTATACATCGCGTCATGTCCAGATGTCCAACGACAACTTTTATCTAACGACACAAGAACGCCAGCGTCTGTCTTTCTGCAGTTTCTAAATGTTCTAATAGAGGGCGCTTACTGCCTAATGGGTGAAGTCTGCCACCTCTGACCGCTTGCTTCCTCAGGCATTGACACTATTATGATATTATGATATGATGGCATCATGCAACGTCTCGCTCCCGTGGTGGGCCATGACATGTGACACCTTTCATAACACATAGATCTGATTACAAACACGCCGTATTTCCGTCGAACTTGACCTGAACTTTAGCTCTGGCGACCCTTCTTACATATTGCACTCCTGACAACATCTGTTAGTGCTTGTCTAGACTTATTTTTGTGCTATATCGAGGTTTGATAGGCGTCATAAAACTGAACCGAAGACGAACTGACCTAGAATGTCTATGTTTTATTGACAGATCTAGAGTACTGTTGCGTTGCGTTGTGTAACTATACTTTGCTGTGGTTGCCATTGAATTCCGTCTAGCGGTATTAAACGCACAAAAGCTTTATTCTGCTCTTTTGAAAGGTCCTCTTTTTCAATGATGTACGTGATTTGAGACTGTGTCAAAGGCACCCATACTCGTTATATCCAAATAAATATTTTACACCATAAACGCTAAGCGATGGATATCAAGTAAGGCCCTCCCCCTTTATGCTAGCAAGTTCCGTTCCCTATCCAGCAATACATGTGTAGTATGATGCTTCATAATGCTAACTCTAAATGTTTCTCATGTCATTCGAGTTGTCGGATAGCCCTACCCGTCAAAATAAAGCTAGGGAAATTGGTGGAATATCGTCACTGACCTGGATTTAGTTACGGAGAGGGCACTCGAGGTGATTAAACGTTCTGCGACATGGAGGCGGGTCGGATCCTGTAAACCTGATATGCTGTGCAAACGAAACAGCACTAATTTTAGCTACGAGGACTTGTCATGCCGTATCCTGGGTTCGAGAGTGGTCACGTGACCTAGGAAGCTTCATCAAAGTCCGGAATGGCAGTTTCATATCCTATATGTATATAATATCCTTGATAATCCCATTCAGATTGGCGTTTACAAAGCGGTTTCAGGGCCTAACCGATTTAAACTGTGTTTGTGTGTGTGTCGCGGTGTGCGTATGTGTGTGTGTGTGTGTGTTTGTGCCACGGAGTGTGTGTGTGTGTGTGCGTGTGTGTGTATGAATCTGAACGGGCCAAATCAGATTAAAACCGGTAGGATAGCAGACCACCTACGCAGTTTCACAAAAAGCTCAACCGGTTTAAATCGGTCATTAGGCCATGGGTGTATGATTACCAACGACTAAAACCAGTTCGATACAAACGGACTTTTTGTATGTTTTTGATCAAGCATCGGCCTTTGTGAACAAATGACAATTGCAAAACATTCTAGTCTCGTATCATCATAATCAAATTTGTACAGTTGAAATACATCAGTACTAACGACGTTCTCACGTCGCACACGTCTTGTTTTTCAGTCCGACTGAAGAGTGACAACAAGGCCTGAATGTTGACCTGATGACACTTCTGTGTGCAGACGTGACTGTGATCATTTGCAGTGTCGTAACCTTGGTCGGCAGATATGCCAAATATGACCACAACATTGGTCCAGTCTTTACAACAACAAGTGCAGACGTCGTATATTAGTATCGACCTCGGATGAGAAGGAAGAAAATAGGGTGGACAGAGAGATTGCTACCACATAGTTCAATGTAACCGTGGCTTGTACACCCCAAAATCAAGAACGTTAACCATATGCATGGTTCCGGGGAAAAAAGAACAAATATTTGAAAGAAAGTACACTTAAACTACAGTATGATTGTACAGTAGTCGAGAGGTCATAGGTAAACAGTGGAGACGCTCTTGTAGGGTGTTAATTTTTTTGATCCCCTGATCTGGTTGAATGGACACCACACACGTCCATATTGTTCCGCTCAGACACGGTGTCACAAGAATATCATCAACTCCGGCAAAGGTAGCTCAGAGAAGTAAACTTTTTACTTGCACTACCTTCTGAAAACAATAACCTTAACTGATCGGATAAAACACTGGTGCTCAACAAAACTCACAGACTAACATACTTTCGAAGACGTCTCGGATAATCTGCCAGCTGGATTCCACATTTACTTAATTTTGTAATCAAGCTCCTTAAGAAGACGCCCACCTTCAAATTAGCCCCTATCTTGGGTATTAACTTAAGTAAATTCTCCGCCTTTGAGTTAGCCCCCATCTTGAAGTATTAAGTCATTAGCCTGATTAGGAAAATTCCCGTTTACGCCGCCACGCCCATTTCAGTGACAACACGGCTGTGTTTTCCACCCAGTAGGGCGTAGCCGTGTGGTGTTTTGCATGCCGGTACTGTTTGGCCATGAACGTCTGTTTTCTTAAGACACCCGAGGGGGTCTTAAGGCAACCTGAGGGGGTATTCAAGGACACAGCAGTGTATGACCACACCCGTAGCAACTCCAAGTGCTTGCCGTGTACTACCCTAGTTTTAAACTTTTATATAGTGGCGTACCTGGTGTCTTTTTTTCTTCAATTGTTTATGTAAAATGCGCCAAGGAAATGATAATGTTCTTATTGTACCAGCTGTTTCGGAAAAAAAAAAACTTTCCCAGTTGTCCCTTTAACTGTGGCCGTTAAGTATTTTACCAGTCGCCCATGTTGTTTTGTCAACCGTCCTTGCTATTCCGCCACCCTTCAGAGGAAGGATGGCAAACATCTTAAGAACACAGACCCGAGCCTTTGTGTAGAACAAGAGCCCTTTCTTAAAGTAAGGGTAAGAGGATAAACGAGGAACGGAAACTCCTGTTGACTTTTCAAAGACTGCTCAATTCTAACTCTAAAAACCCGTCTTACGGTGTTTACATATCTCTAATATAGCCATCAAAACAAACGTGTGAAAATCCGGATCCGCATTTGGCTACAGACAGTCGTCCTTGCACCGTAGTAAGCACCTTTTTTCTCTCTCGAAAGCTATAGAAATGTTTTTTCCAATCGATGTATATCCAGGGATTTCAGCCAAAGGTCTGCACTTCTCACCTGTATTAATCATTGCATTACGTGGGCTAAAGAGGCTCTGAGTAAGGGCGCGGATAAGGTGTCCTTGTTGCCCCGGGATGTAAATAAACAACGTGTCGTCACGTCCGCCACTGCCAATGAATAGGCACAATCACCCTCGGGGTGGATTACAAGTCGGTTGAGGACAAAGCAGCATACCTGTAGAACTAGGTAGCCTCACAACCGGGCGCCTCAGGAAACACGAACACCTGGTACAAACCTCAGAAATGTAGACAGCCTAGTCGATCTGTTAGCGAATGTGCTGAAAAATCCTTAACAAGTATTGTAGTACCAAGAATGCTATGTATTTTCTATCCCTGAAATAGCTTGAAGGTTTGGCTAATAGCTATAACGAAAATACTTTTTTACTAGTATGGCTAGTATCTTTAACTTAACTTTTTGGGCCTCTTTGCTTACTGAACTTACCAATGTATAGCAATAGTGATAGAGGAATTGCAATGTATTCGTCCTAACGGTGGATAAAGTTTGTGAATGGAGGCGTTTCCCCATCTACGAAATGCAAATTTGTTCGTCAAACATATCCCCACTCGTAAGGTCGTGCAAACATCAACACAATACTGATCAGGCAAACAGCCAAACAGCGTTCCAAAAATACAAGCACTTGATTACGTCCGTCCGTTCACACTAGTGCGTCAACCTAAAGTAAACATTAAATATTCTGGGATAGATTTGAAATCTGAGAGGAAAGGTCAAAATTTAGATTGCCAGTATTTGAAAGATCAGAATTCTACAACATACATTTTCAACACCACCCATAACATAGTTCTATGCATATGCAAGTGAACGACTGAAATAAAATTTCAACCAAATACACAGGAAAAAAATACCGTAGACTAAAATCTTTATCTTTGTATCAAAAATGACATCACTCATTTCGTCATATCGTTCGATTATGATTGTCGGAAGATAGGGGCTAGGGGAGGGGAGGTTCCGGCTGCAGTGACGTAATGACAACGGTATCATCTCCTCAGCTAAAACACACCAATCGCAGATATGATGGCATACATAACCAGTCCCATGGGTTTATGGCTTTCTACTTGCATGGATTCATGCCAATCATGATCACTGGTCCGTTTACATCAAGCATGGCGTTAACAATACCCAAGTACGAGCAGGTGCATTGCACTTGTGCCCATACAGACTAGGAATTTCTTTTTGTGAAAGAAAGCCAGCTGTAGCTAACACAAAAGCGGAAAATTCAAACGATAACAGACCAATTCACGACAAACTGTGTCAGTCCCCGTCACGTTTTATACACCGCAAACGGTGATCTATGGGACCTTTACACGACACTGAGAACCGTTATTGCAGTACTCGTACGATACCGGAGTCACCCTATGGGAGCACGGGCCACCTTATATGGACTGATGAGACGATACATGCATATTCAGATACCCGGATCACGTCCACTCGAAAAGGATGGGTTAATTTACGGCTTGTTAATCCCAAGTGAGACTTCACCCCCTGAGTTTTTCCTCATGCAGCCCGCTGTGGGTTATAGTGAATGGGGTTTTAATATGGTGAATTGCTTCCCCGTTTGGGGAATTGCGGCTGTATACATTACACGGTGACAGGTGCAGTTTCCAGACTATAGTCATTAGTTTGGATATGTGAGTTGAGTGTCTCATTTTGTAGGAACGCTATATAGGCTAGCCTTGTTCAGCTAGTTCACAGTAAAAAGAATAGCTCCCTAATATTATTTAACAAAAATCAAATCTATCTGATTCTGGAAATAGAATACATCTATATTATGTATAAGGATTATTAAGGTGAATGCATATTTAACACGCTGCATATGCCTTGGTTTATTAGGCGATAGTATGCATGGAAAAGTAATGCACCGTTAAAATTTGATTTGCACCATGGAACAGGAAAACTTGCACGTTTTCTAAGTAAACGGATGTATCACTGAAAAATGTGCTCTTCGCACGACATGCTCTCTGATCCATCGCCCATTTCCTCCTTCCTTGAACATGTTCCTTGTACCAAGAAGGTTGACCTCCTTGCTTGTTTGTACCATAGCCAACGCCCAGGAAGCGGTACGTAACGGCTCTAATATGAACATTGACAGAGGTCGCCTGAGAGGTCTGATGACGAGGCTACCCACCCGGGAAGTGAGTTACCCGCCACGTGATGACGTCACTCGCGTATATGGGGTGATGCCAGCCGACCAATCAGCGCGCGGCGCTACCCGGTAAATAAATTCAAAACCTGGAGGTTGCCAGGCCCGGAATATGTAGGTGTTTCCTCCACATGACATCCATTCAAACAACCAGAAACTCGTCTTCGGACAAGTGTTGAAAACAGGAGCTCTAGTTTTTTGACTGATCACTACAAACTGTGAAGTCGTGTCTCTATCTCAACTTTGTAACCAGCCAAGTTTAAGGTTAGTGTGAATTTTTAAGGAACTGCTTTGTTGTATTTTTGTATGTACGAACGTGGAGTTCTGTTCGATGTAGCATTCCATATGGAATTTGTACATAAGTTTTGTTTACATTTTTTACACACTAAATACCATTATTTTCCACCATAAATAATACCATATCTTTTCATTCTACCAATTCTTTACTCTATACTATATATCTTTGTACAAAAAATATATTTCCCAACATTTCCATCAAAAGAAATTTTTCCATTATTAGTTTTTTATTTTATTTAGGTGAATATTCCGAAATGTAGAAAAATCTGACCCTCTCCCTTTCCGAGACTTAATATATTCTGTCTGAAGACGCTTATTATTAATGAGGAAAACCCAGCGGGTATGATTTGGTATGTCGGATGATGCTGGGACAACCAATGAGTGCCCAGCGTTGGCTTGTAAGCCAGGCGGCGAGAAGGCGTGTCAACCAGTTGTCAATACAAAATCGGACGAGAGATCCACAATTTCAGTTCTCCAGCTCTAGCAGAAGCATATCTTTGTAGAAATATCGTCTAGAAAGGGATTTCCCCCGACTGAACAATTTTCCAGCGGTAGAAATTTAAGGTAGGTTTGATTTTTTTCGGTGTACTACAAGCCGGGTGTGGACTACACGTGGGCTTCCGGCAGCCTTACAACTGCATAATGTGTCGGCGGCTGTTGTGGTTTGGCGTTCAACGCCCTACCCGTAGAAATGCTCGTTATTTGACCCAAGCGATCCGATTTTATTGCGACAAGAGGAGTGTTTAGTGTTGATATGAGTCGATTTTCATATTTGCTGCGTTTTGCTGTTTTTCTGAGGTTTTATTTTACCGTGAAGCTCTAAAACATGGCATCATGTTCTCGGTCTACATAAATGCAAATCGCCAACCGGCGTTCACATTTGAATTTTTCCTGAAATCATTTCACGTTATACGTCCCCAAAAAAGCAGAAGAGATCAAAATCGGATCCATATAGACCTTAGAAAAATATTTTTCCTACGATATGTACCCGTTTCTTCCTCAAAATCGGCACCGGAACTTGGCAAATACCGGAAAGGTGTAGAATCGAGGGCAGCCGACAACGCCTTATTAGTGATTCACTCTGTGTACATGGGAAGTCTGGCAGAGTGGCGTGATCGAAGCGTGGTTGTATTACATTGTGCATGAATAATCACATTGTAAATGGCAGCCGTTCGCTCTCTTTCTCACCATAAACGTTTCTTTACGGAAAACTGTCAGATTTTGTTGTTTACCTGATCCTATGTAATCAGGATTCCCGCCCTTTAAATTCCTCGAATTCTGGTTGTTTACTATGATGAACGCTTGGCTTCGCTTCTTTCGTTGGTGTTTGGGCAAATGTTTGTCTCCATGTGAGCCGAACCTTTTACACGAGTGCTCGTTGAATCAGACGACAGAAAAAAGGGTACGGGGTCTTGTTACAACGGCTGAATTGTGCCATGTTGTTTTCTATTGTGTTGCCTACCAAAAGGCTCTAACGAACTTGTAGGATCAATTTTGTGTAATTTGTTTCTTGGCCACCCAAATCAAAATCAAAGCTTTGTTTGGTGCCAGAGGTCTGTCACACAGAGAGGCTAACGTTAGCACTAAAAAGATTCAGCTGTGTAAACTGGATGTATTTCTAAAGAAAAGTTTCTAGACTATGAAAGGAAGAACTGTTAGTGTTTGGTGACCTCGGTTTCCTGACTTGTTGCGTATGGAAACAGATCGTATGTCTTCCTCAGACGTCTGAATTCCACAAATTCCTGCGGCCCACTTGCTGGAACCCTGCCCTGCGGGGTGCCTGTCGCGAAACATTTACTGTCAACGTTTTTACCTGAACGTTGTAGTACGTTACAAGTTTGGCGCGCGTTTTTTTTTTACTTTCACCTGCCACCCCTCCCGCCCTATTCAAACATGTCCACACCTTTTCAAAAGACTTGTGACGATAAAGCCCCCTGTTTGTTGATAACGTTTGTGGGGTTACACATGTTCGCAGTGGCATGGGGTGAACTTTTCACCTCACCACGCCCCCCTGTCAAACACATTTCGTACATTCGTCACTCTTTCTACATACCACTACGGTCACAATCCAAACCAAAGAAAACGTTCTTTTAATATCCCTTTGCGGAAAAGATCCTCGAGGAAAAGGCCGTTTGCAAAGGGAGAGTGCAAACGGAATTATCAGCTGGTTGTGTGATAACAGTGAGGGGTGTGTCAGCGAGCCATTTGCGATAAGAGGTATGTCATGCCCGGGCTCGCGTCCGTCTCCCTTGGCGACCTATCAGCGCCCCGGAAAAATCGAACCACTTTCTCATTTGAGGGCAGCGCAACGCACCGAATTTTATCCATTTAGCTGCGCGGCCTGTGAATTATTTTAGGTAGATTAAAATGGGGGAACATATTGAATGCCAGAATGTGATTACGAGAATTAGTATAAGGTGGAAAGATTGTTAATGCAGATTTTTCTGGACTATTGTTATTCGTTGCGTTCTGTAGCCGTCTTAAGGCTCATTTTCCAGTTCGCTGCCTCCAAAGCACATTTAAAGCTGACCCAATTCAATATGAAAAAACATAAAATGGACCCAGGGAATGACAAAACCGTTCTTGAAAATGATGGCACTGAAAAGAAATGTCGTTACCTATAATTTTACCCCACCTAATGTCTCTCCAAATAAGAAAAACATGTGTTTTGGGCGTGTTTTTGTGAGGCCTCAATCTGTATTGCTTCTAATATCCTAGCTTAGTGTGAGAACTGAAGTATTGTTTCCCGTACAGTCATTTAAAATCTAATGATATCGTGAAAAACAAACAAGAGAGGCCCCCTGCTTGTAGTGTTGTTTTAAGGAAGCCCCGTCGTGTGGGTCACTGTCCATATCGCATTTCAAAAACTGAAGAGGCTCTTGTTTAAAAATCCATCGATATGAAAATATCAGAAGTAGATAGGAATTTCAGTAAAACACATAACACGTTAACATACGTGTTTGGTGTAGGAGTTTGTTTATGGTTGTCTGATAACATGGAATGGGTGGCTGTTAGAGTGGCAGAAAACTTCCACGTCAATATCTGCTCGAGGATTAGCCTGATAAATCGTTCCGCTGAATTCTTCACATTTTTCTTTGACCCTCTCTCCTTGAAGAAAGACAGCTTGTTTGATCTTGCAAAAGTTGAGATGATATGACTTTGAGAAAAACACATTACGTCGCCGACAAGGCCTGGCGTGACGACTTAGATATTTCTCAATATGACGGCACATTCCAGTCCAACGTTATCACACTTCAGAGTGACGTTTTATCTTCTCAGAAGGAAACGTTTAGTTAGATTCTGACGTTATTCGAAACAGCTGTCAAAGTCACTTGAAAAATTCCAAAGGAAGACACCACCAGCGCTGCATTGTTTGTTGTACTGTCGCCTGTGTGGTAATCGTCATCCCAAGGGCATCGGAGTCAACAGCTGCAGCTCTACTCCGAAAATTAAAACCTAAATGGCTTTCAGAATTTGAATATTCAACCTTTGTACTCGCCCCTCGTCACAAGTGGCCCATACAAGAAATTTTCAGAGGAATTCAGAACCAGGAAATCTAAACCAGGACAGTGAGTGTGAGTGAATTCAGAGTGTGCTTGGTGAGCGTCGCGATCAGATTTCTAAAAGCTTTCCCGGCGGTGTGATTTTCAGCGACTCCTCCGTGATATGATAAGATCTAAAGAGGTGCTTGATTGTTTTTCAATCAAACATTTACGCCCCTTATCTTGCCCAGGGCCACTCACCACCGATCATATGGCCCTTGTTCTGGTGATAATCCCATGCTGTGAGGCCAAGGCCAACTGTCACATTGAAAAGCAGGGAGTCGGAAAGCGTCACAATGTTCTCTATAGTTGATAATTCTTGTGGAACCTTTTTTTTTTTACCGTGTATCGGGAAACAGTGAAATTAGTACAAGTACAAAACACAAGATAAATTTTGCACAACTGTCAAAAAGGACTTGCACATTTCTTTCCTTTCTTTTCCTTTCATTCTTGGGCTGTGCATACAAAACGTCCATATGTGTGCCGCAAGACTGACATAGACTTATGTTTCGTTTTCTCTTCTCTTTCAGAACTTGTTGCAGAATGACTCCCCGACTAGTTGCAGCCCTCCTGGCGGCCTGTGTTGCTGCCGTGGTGTGGTGTCCCCAGTCCGTCTCAGCCGTGCACGCCTGCACAGCCGAGGGAGACTCGGCCAAGTGCGAGTGTCCCCACCAGTTCGGCACCATCGACTGCAGCGACAAGAGTCTGACCGAAGTCCCCGACCAAGTTCCGTCCACCGCCGGCTACCTGGACCTCAGCTTCAACGCGATCACGACCCTCCGTCGTAACCAGTTCGCCCGCGGCAACTTCACTCGCATGTGGGGGCTCCAGCTCGGTAACAACCAGATCGACTCGGTAGAGGACGGCGCCTTCAACAACATCGGCGACCTGAACCACCTGCGACTGGACAACAACCAGCTGACGGTGGTCACAGCCGGCATGTTCCAGGGCCTGGGCACCGTCACCCACCTGTCCATGGACTACAACCAGATCCACACCATCCAGGAAGGCGCGTTCGCCGTCTTCGAGAAGCTGTACGTTCTCAGTATCCAGGGCAACCAGCTGGCGACGCTGACGGCCGCGATGTTCCAGGGCGTCCGCCTGCCCGAGTACGGCTCCCAGTTCAATTTCCGCTACAACCGCATCGACACCATCCAGAGCGGCGCACTGGCCCCCCTGCGGAACCTGGAGGAACTGCACCTCACGGGGAACAAGCTGCAGACCGTCGAGGAAGGCTCCCTGGACGGCCTGAACAACCTGGAGTCGCTGTACATCAGCGAGAACCCCCTCCAGACCATCAAGGAGAACAGCCTGAAGGACCTGAAGAACGTGCGAAGCCTCAGCATCCAGTTCACTAACATGACGAAGGTCGAGGCCAACGCGTTCGCGGGCATGGACAACCTGGAGTCCCTCGACCTCCAGCACAACAAGATCGACGACATCGCGCCCGGCACCCTCCAGGCCGTCCCGACCCTCAAGATCCTCACCCTGCGGTACAACAACCTCACCGTCGTCAGGAGCGACGTCTTCAAGAACGCGCCTCACCTGCAGCAGCTGGACCTGTCCCACAACCCCATCAGCCAGGTGGAACGCCAGAGCTTCCAGAGGCTCCCCACTCTCTCCACCCTCCATTTGGACCACACCCAGCTGTCAGCCATCGACCCAGAGGCCTTCTATGGAGGAGACTTCGGTAGTGTCTACATCGACCTGTCCTACAACAAGATGACCACCATGCCTGTTCCCGTGTGCCGCCAGCTCTTGAACCTCGGCCAGGTATGTTTCGAAAACTCTCTCTCTCTCTTTCTCTCTTGTAGCATCATCACCAATTTGCTAAAACTTAAACATTTTAGAGCAAGAATGACCGTTTACATGATACAGGCCAAATCAATGTTGATTCTAACATCCCTGTTCTCTCTTGTGTTCCCCCGTAGGTTGATCTGCACGGTAACCCCTTCAGCTGCGACTGTCACATGACGGATCTGTTGAGCGGTTGCGGCAGGCTGGTCACCGGTCTCAACTCACAGATCAGTTGCCACGGGCCCCAGCCCCTCGCCGGCCGGCCGCTGAAGGACGTCACCCCTGACCTCCTCGTCTGCAGCCCTCCCACCATCACCGAGGCCAACAACATGGCCAAGACCACCGTCGGAGACGTCTTCGCCCTGCCCTGCGGCTCAACCGGTTCTCCCCAGCCGATCGTGGAGTGGACCCTCCCCTCCAGCATGAAGCTGAGGCAAGGCGAGCAGAGCGAGCGGTTCTCCGTGGGCGACGACGGCACCCTGACCATCAACACCGTGGTGGCAGCCGACAGCGGCTCCTACAAGTGCACCGCCATGAACACCGAAGGGTCCGAGCTCGCCATTTCCCGTCTGGAAGTCGCCATGTCTGCCGATGCCCCCTCTGGATCCGAGAGCAACACCACAGCCATCCACCTGCCCGAGGAGCCGTCCAACCCCGTCCAGCTCGCCCTGGTCGTCACCCTGTGCGTAATCCTGGGCGTCCTGCTGGTGGTGCAGACCGTGTACGTGTGGCTGTGGCGCGAGCGCAGGCGGTGCCGCAGCCAGAAGGCGCGCACTAACGACGTCGACCGCCGGGGGCTCATCCCTCTGGCCGACGCCAGCCAGCTCGAGGACGGTAAGCTAGTATACACGGACACGAACGGTGACATCGCGTACATGCCCAGAGGAAAGGACTCGGCGGCGTGATGTGGCACCGTAGCTAGGTCTTAGATAGCGCTTTTTCTGTAAATTATATGAAAAAAGGTGAAAAAAAATTGTGAAATGTTATTTAATTTGTATTCTTACTTGTGGAATGTATTGTATCAAAATGCGAATGCAATGACAAGTTTTGTTTTATATCAACACAAGCAAGAAGTGTTAGAGGGAGCTGTCTATAGAGTCGTGGAGCTTTGGAAGTGATATTTTTAAAATCATTGTCACTGCCTTGTATATAAAGATGATTTAATGGCAGCTTGCACTTGTGCTGCTTTTCAACATGACTAATTATTCTTTGGGCCACAAACAAAAATGTCTACATTTCTTTTTCAACCCAAAGAATTAATTCTTTCTGATCGCTGACTTTAAAAATAGCACCTCAATTTTGTACATATTTTCTGTAAATTATGTGAAATAGTTAAGGTAGTCAAGCAATCTTTGTTATTGAATTTGTCATAGTAACATGTCTAGAGTAAGTTTTCTTCCGTTTTGAAAGGGCTGACATATGTTGCTTGGTCTTGTCTCTCAAATTGAGAGGGCATAAAAGAACCCATAGATCCAAAAACTTGCATCCTCCTGAACATTCCCGTGCATTTTACTAAATAATGGTTACCAGTATGCAGTTTTTGGCATAGATGGAATGACAAAGCCTCAACATGGCCAGCTCTCTTCATTGTATGCACTTTTACAGAGGCAGCTTGTTATACGTGTCTGGGTTTGGTGCTTTTATGTTTGATATGATGTTTAGAGATGGTGCTTGATGATAGCACCACTGTGAATGGGGAGAACAGAGAAAAGAAACTGGTTTAAAGGGAAGATGTAAAGAAGGCTGTAGAAATGAGAAAGCAGTGAAAATAATTATCAATTAAAGCATCAGTGAAAGATGTTTGTGCAGTACGTAATACACAATGGGCAATAAAACAGGAAATACCTTGTGGTACATACGAAGTACATGAAGGAGGAAGCCAACTTTTGTGCTGTTTTCATTGGCTTATCTAGATTAGAATGCACTTTTGTTACATTTTGCAGTATGGTACGAATCTTTTGCGATTCACTTACTACTAACTTTGAGCTGACTTTTACTTATGTGAGCTGACGTTTCTGTTTGTTGCAACTTTTTTTCTAAGTGAAGGTGGAGCTGTTGTATTGTGGAAGGGAAACTTTGCACTTGTGTACAGCACATTTTTGCAATGCAATACATATTTTTCTAGGATATATGTGTTTTTTAAGCTTGTACCTCAACCTTATTGTCAATGCAGGGCACCACATAATTTCTGAACAGAAAATGTTTGAAATTTTGAAACAGATAATTATTGCTTTCAATATTGTCAATGTTTCCTCTTATAGAGTAAAGCATATGTTCAGCTTTGGAAGCACTTGTATAGTATATTATGACACAACTTGTAAATAGATATTAGGTGGCATAAGAGTCTTCAATGTTATCTGTGCACTGTTGTGTTTCAGTGCAATATAAAACTCGATGACTTGTGTTGCTCAGTATATGCTACTTTGTGAATATGTTTGTTGTTTGTATAATTTATTTATAATGGACTTTACTAAAGTATGAATGAAAAATGAAGCTTATTGTTGTCCACTGTAAAGTGAGTCAGAACAGCAGCTTTTGCTATACAAGCATTTTTGTAGAAAATAAACCATTGAAAATGATTTACTGTTTTTGTCTTTTCATGACTGTCAAATCCAGGGTAGAGAATGTAATGAAATGTGTGCATGTACATGTACCATAATGCTGGCCTGAGACTGGGAAAGTTCAGATGATTTTGAATGATTCAGTAATGGAAAGAAATACATGACTGACCCTAGTGATAGTGAGAAATAGAGTTGCTAGGAGCCTAAATTTTGGTGGGAGAGTATTACATGACATTATACCTTGAAAAATACAGACCACAGAAAGGAAATGCCTCTGGAAGATACTAGCAATCACATACAGAGACAAAATGAAAGAGTCAAACAAAGCATAGGTCTGTACGGAGACCTAACTACAGTAACAAAGGAAACTGATGTGTGGCCCAAGGGCTACAGAAACGGTGATGGGCATGGCCCTATACACCAAAAGGTTTGGGATGAATTTTAACTTTGCAATAGAATATCTTGTCTTTCCAGAAAAGAATACAACAATCCACCATCACATTCTGCTGTTGCATTTTACTTCTGGCACAATGATTGTTATTAACATGCTGACATGTTCACAGCATCTAAAATCATATGTTAAAATGATATGGCATAAAATAGATAGAAGTCTTTATGAACTGTACAGGGTCACCCCAACGTTTTGAGACCTGATACCTCAGCACCTTCAATATTTTACAGGGAGATCCAAAAGTCTGGGAGACCTCGTATTTTACATACCACATTTCTCAAAGTCAACCTAGTGCCTATGTCAAAGAGATCTACACATGATATACACAGAACATGTACAACATGTATGGAGTTTTCTTGCACTCTGCAAGACGAAGCCAAATTTGTAACGCACTGCACTTCTAATGACTTCCATTCCGGGTTTTCTCATACTCAGAATATTGCATATTCAGTTCCATTTTTGTTTAATACAGTATTTCTATACATTTGGACAAGACTATAAAATCGCACAATTTGCATAGCAGCTAACATATCTTTTTCAAAACAATGATTTCTTTGGACAATGATCAATTTGTTTATAATTCCACTAAAAACATGTTTTGCCTTCAAATTTAGGTTTCTATTACCACTGAATAAGAGCTGACAACAGGCATTGCCATAAGCATACATTACTTTCAGAATTCATACTTTCACCAAACCAGTAACGTTATACTTATTTTCCATAAACATATCTTGACCACAACATACAGATAAAAAAGAAAATGGCTCTGAAACCAACGAGTATGATAATGATGATGATGAAAACAACAATGAAAATGATGACTGTAAAAGAAATCAGTTATGGTTCCTCCACTATGAAACCATGCAGCATTTTAGTCTATTAATTTGATATGTCAATCAGAAGGTCACATGACAACACTGGGACCAATCAGGGACGAGCGGTCACTGTAGCACCTCCTTGCGAAGCCTGGACTTCTGAGCGGCTTGGACCCGTTTCCTTCTTTCCACATTTTTGTTTCCTAACGTTGATTTCAGGGCGGGTAGAGACACCTTTTCTGTTTCTCTGAAGGCTGCCTCAGGCCTGCAAAAAATGAGATGATTATTGCTATGTGATTCTTTACAGTAAACATTTACATATGAATTCAGATACTCCATAGTGAACGCTATCTAAAATTTCTGACCCTTCAAAGAATATATCAAGTTGATTTATTTTGTATCATGCAATGAGATGATAATTCATTTAGGATATGTCTGCTGAATGTCATATTCAACATTGTGCTAGGCATGCATGACATCTTTTCGTGTAAAATAAAGATAAAGCAAATCTTGTATGCATCAGACAGCCACGGGATAACTTTAAATTGTTCAGAGTGAAGGTAACAAATGTATTATCACACTTCACTGCTGAGTAAAAGGATACTTACAATTTTTTTGTTGGATTTTTCATGGGAACTTTTGGCAACTTGGCTACAGTCTCCACTTCCCTGTAAAGAAAGGAGCAAGAAACAACTTTTAAGACTTATGAGACTTATTGCAGCTTTTATCTGCATACACTATGATAATTACGTGAAAGATATCAAGGTCTTCAACTAACAAAGGAGGTTCTAACAGTAAGAGTAAAGACTGGAACCATGCAGCTCCACATATTTTACTGACTTAGCTGACTGACACCTTTTGCATGATTTTTGTGTTGCAAAACATGTTGGTCAGCTGAGGAATGACTCCACTCTACTCGTAAGGAGGTTCTAAGGGACATATTTCAGCCATTATGAAGATGGAGGACTGACCCTTCACTGGACTTGTCGTCTGCCACGTAGGCCTTAGCGAGGAGGTAGGCATCAGGAGTCCACTTGTGAGAGTACAGGACGTCCCGTAGGTCAGACTTCAGTCTCAGCAACTGGGAACAACACATCAAAATTAAGTAACATACACTTTCTTATAGGAAAGATGTTATACTGTGTATTAGTAACATTTATACTAGTTTTATATACAGGTTTTACTAGCTACACACCCAGATAAATTTTATCTGCCAATGTTTCCTTGCCGTGCGTCACAACATGACAAGGCGTGGAAGAGTTCTGAGGAAGGTAGCCTGGTAGCTGTTGGGTTACTGGAATCTCTACAGATAAAATCCATTTGGTTGTGCAGCTAAGAACCCATATATACATATACTTTTGCTAATTTATACACATGTTGGATCTACAGTTTATTCCTGTTTATAATTGGTACTAAGGCCATGTTGATTTGATTATATGGATGACATCCTCTGGGAACCCCAAAACTGATGCGCGCGTGCGAATAAAAAAAAAGTTTTGCAAAAAAAAAAGTTGCTTTCACTATGAAATCTACGTGGTCATGAAGGTTGAACAAATGGCACAGAATATGTTATGGCGAATAATCTACTCTTCGAATTCATTTCTTTACATTTTTGTCTTTTTTCCTTTGATTTTGGCATTCTACGACATTGGTATCGTTTCTAAATGTTTTCCTTGCAACTTATGGTATATTTTTGCTCATTTAGCAACTGTTTTGCACGATTTACAGTATGGTTGAAAACTTTTTTTTTTTGGAAACGGCTGAAAATTCATGCGCGCGCGGATGTCATCCATATAATCAAATCAACATGGCCTAAGTGAGGATTTGTTAGGAGCTTACCTCGTGTGACTGTCGGTCACCCTTGTTCTGAAGATACTTGATGATGAGTTCACACTCTGCCAGGGTGGGGGGCCGAGGGGGGTGGCCGGGTCCTGAAGGAACAAGTTTAATCATTCAGTATAATTATTCTGAATTCTATACAAGGTGTATGCTCCCGCAATTGAATAAAGCTTGACAATTCTTTATACATTGTTGTACATGTATTAGGCATTCTTCAATGATTATTGAAGTGCCTTCACAATACAGTGTGTGTCATCTATCTTGTTCAGATTTCATTGAACAAATTGTCTGGTATATTTTGATCCGACAAAAACTGTGTACATGTGTATGAGCCTTATTACCTTTCCCCACACACATTAGAACATACCCAAGGAAATGTTAGCCTGGGTACCATTCAGAGTAAGCTCTGCTACACTAGAAAAAATCTTATCTAGCGTAGCGGAGCAAAATCTGAATGGTACACAGGCTATGGAAATGTCTGATAATCAAAGACACCCACCTGGTACAATCTGCAGTGGGTTGAGCAGTATCTGAGGTGTCTTCACCATCTCCCTTAGCTGGCTGGTGGCCAGCTGCGCGGAGTCCGTGTGGACAGCCTGCACCTGAGCGTTGCCGTGCACCTGGTACGCGTGGTCGGCCGGGGGCACCTGCGGCACCTGCACCTGCTGCAGCTGTTGTCTGGATAGAGAAGAAATACATGTATGTTGGAGCCGTGATATACGTTTTAGTTCAGCTCCATGGGAGTTCAATGATGTCTTTTGCTGAGAAGTTGTCTTTTGGCCTTGCATTAAATACAGTACCACAGCTAACCTGTTCAAATTCTGAACAAAAATTCAAGACAGATGGATAGGATATGTGCAGGCCCAGTCTTTGTGAAGTATTGTTTTTCCCAGTAGTTTTTTTTCCCCAGTAGTAACAACCCTATAGCACCACAGAGCAACTGTTCGAATTCCAAACACTATATATAAAAAACAGACAGATAGAATATGTGCAGCAGTGAAGTGACAGACAGAGCCACCAAGTTTTTTGGGTTTGGGAACACCAGTCCTCCTGAGTCAAAAAGTTAGTTTGGAGCCCTGCTATTACCTTCCACTCTGCTGGATGATCTGTGTCAGGTACTGGTTCCTACTCCTGGCCTCCCGCAGGGCGTACTTCAGGTCTCGTATCTCCTCCTCCAGAAACAGGGTCTTCAGTTCGTCTAACTTGTCCTCTGTTGGTGGAGAACAAAAAAGGTAAAACACTGCTGTCAAGTACTATGCACGATAAATATCTAAAGCGATAAAGAACACACATGAGGGTGCATAATACTATTAATAGAGGTACTCATCTGTTGTAGAAGACTGGAGTAGTTGTGAGTGCTATGCATGATAAATAATCTAAGAGATTAAGGGTAAAAATGTTTGAACTTTTACATTGAAAAGATGACTGAAAAACATGCATGTGGGTTCACTGAAACAAGCTTGATACAAGATCTGTATCTGTATAGCCGGTATAACCACCCTTCTGCGCAACACAGAAGCTTTGATGGTAAATATATTACGTGGGGTTAAATTTTCCAGTGAATACGTTGTACTTAAATGTAGCAACATTTCAAAAGGTCGATTTTTTCTGGGGCAGATCTACTCTTTGGTAAGTGAAAGATGAGAACCCTTCAGAAATTAAAGCACACTCACCTTTTGTAGTGCTACTCTGATCCTCAGTACTGGACACAGAACTCAGCTCTGGAACAATAGAGGCTACGGTATATATGAATATAGCAGTGCAGAAATGTCATCAATTTAGTTCATTTGTAGACTTATTCAAACATCAATGTCCTTAAATTGTTTGAAAGTGAATGCTAAGCCAACATTCCACTTAACTGTAGTGTAAGGAAATCAATGGAAACTTTCCTGGTGGTCAAAAAGCAAACACACATTGTGTTAGGTGAAAATACTGCGGAGTAGAAGTATTACACATGTACGACGAAACAGCTACTTTCTTCAAATGTTGTGTGTAATACTAATAGCAGACATCAGTTTTAACACAGTAGAATTAGCAGCACACAAACACAGAAAAAAATATAGCCCAAGTTTAAGCCTCCGAGCCTGTTAATACAGAGACTAATCCAAAAGAACTGATCGGTCAAAGGAAAGAAAAGATGGGATATAAAGGACGATGTTTGACCAAGAGTGCTTAATTAGTTTGCAGGTGTGCAAGCGTGATCCACTGGAACACTGGGTATTGACTAAAGGGGGTTAAAAGTTTGTTCGTTACACAAAAGTACAAGCGGTTGCCAAGCGAACCAACGCTGGAAACAAACCCATGAATCGTCAGCCCTCTCTTGTGATCACTGTTGAGAGCACTTATGTATTGAAGTAAAAATTCAGCTTGTTGCTGGGTTGAGTGTGTTTTGTGACAACTGTGATTTGGTGACATTTTTTAAAGGAGGAAAGTGATCAGCACACTATAGAACATCTGTTACTCTAGCCCTTTTCACTTATGTTAAGACTATATTATTATTACAATCTTGTCTGGAACTGATACAACTGTTTTACATGTTTTGTGAAGTATTGTACAGAATTTAGTATGGGTTTTCTTCCTGTGTTCTTGGTATTCTAATGACATTAATTGTGACACTTTATTTGAGTTGAAAATATAGAATTTCAGTGATATGGAGAACGAATTAAACATAAATTTAGACGCCAGTGGATCTTGAACAGCTTGTTTTATACTAGTCAGAACCACCAGAAATATGAAATGATGATGCAAGTATAATGCTAATATTTAGTAAAAAGATATTCCACATGTCACTCACATGAAGAATTTTTTTTCTGGAGTACTTTCAATTTTGGGGACGAAATGTTAGTTTAAGGCAAAGTTACTATTTTACTAGGACAACCTTAGATGTTTCACAGCTGTTCTATTGAAAGATGGATAAAGGGTGTGGTTTACACAGGTGTGTGGTGGAAGAAAAGGTGACAAAAACTTAGCCTAAACCTACCTTTCTTAGGGCTGAGTCCCTTACTCATGATCAACTTAAAATGGAGATCTGTGGATGAAAAGAAATACACATCAGTCAAACATATCAACTATATCGACTAAATTACATAGTAGTATAGTATAATAATTACATGTCTAAATTCTTGACTTAATTGTATCCCTGTCCTCATTTTGTATCAATGCATCACTCCATTTAACAAATATTTGACATACAAAATGGTGATTAAACTTATTGAACGAAAGCCAGAGCCGGTGTTGAAAAGAGTCTGTCACGATGCCAAGTGGAGTGAGGAAAATTAAGTCGTTCGCTGCAAGTTTATAAGATGAATGGGTCATTACGTGGTCCCTTGGAAAGAGCAGCCGGATGAACAACAGGTATTATGTTGCTGAGCACGCATCTTGTGGAACAACAATACACGATTCAACCTGTTAAGCAATCTTTGAAGCAGCAGTAACAAGCTTAAGATATCGCTGGCTGAGATTTTGCTAACAAAACATATGTCTTGAACTGTTGTAAAGGGCCAGGTTTGTTTTTAAAAAACATATGGCGAGTTAAAAATTATACTGAGGGGGTGCGTTATATAGTTTTCTAGGCCCTAAAACTCACCTTTATTTTCTCTCTTGAGACCTTCTATTTCGTCGTGAAGGCTTTTCAAGACATCTCCATGTTGTTGTTTAAGAAAGTTCATGCTTTTCTGGAGGTGTTGTACCCTGGAATTGGCGTCCATGTCGCCCGTACCGAACAGATCGGAGTCCGTGCTCTCGGGAGAGAACTGCACCCTCCCCGCGGATCCCTGCCGGTCTCCCCGATCGTCGTGCCCGCTTCCAGGCGGAGGTAGCGTCTGTAGGCGATCCCGGAGGAAAGGTCTGGGGTACCGGGCTTTGTCTAGCGTCCCAACCCGCGACCACTGCGGGAACTGCGCTTGCAAGGGAGGCAGGCCCGACGTGGTGCTCGAGTTTGCAGCTAAACTGGACATCGTGTCAAGTACGTTGTTACAACACAACTTCACCACATGCAGAAGAATTGAGCTATTTACAGCGTTTTTCGCGGTCCTTCGTCGCTCGACAGAATGAAACTTGGCTGTCGACTCGATTCTAGGACGCCAGGGTGTGCATAAACACGAGAAAAATCCAGGGAATCTGGGCACAATGGTTGGAAGAACGGGTTCCTCTCAGTCTCGGCTGCAGACGCCTGGAACACAAAATGGCTGTCTCACAGAACGCAGAAGGTAAACATCCCCGGTTCCCGCCAAACTGGCTTTGCGTGCAACTTCGCAACCACGATCCACCGCCTAATTATCGTCCAAAAAAGACTTGGGCATCGTAGCGATGGTACCCCGTGTCATTGCCATTTTTTGTGGTGGCCCACTGTAGCCATGAACTGTAGCAATTCACCATGAAAACATTGATACATTATCATGCAAATACCCGTTGCCAAGAAGCCACCCGCAGTAGGGAGAATTGACACCCTGACCTAGCATAGAATTTCACAATTTACAATCTAGCGTCCCACCAAAGTAACAATAAACAATTTGTGACACTGGAAGTTGATAATAGATATAAATTTCTTCAGTTTACAAAATCAAAACGGCACAAAGTTGTTTAAAAAGACATATTTATGCGGGTTCCTGCAACAAGTCGTTACACATTCTCCCGCGGTATCTAGGTAAATCCTACACGCACACCTGGACCGATCCATTTTGTGGTGGGGGTGTAACCTTCCATTCGCGCTGGTGCTTCCACTTTTTTTCACTTTCAAAATGATATATTTACATGCTGATTGTCAATTACTTTTTGTCAGCTTATGAAATATTAGAATCTTATTGCACTGTGCTTGCACATGCATTTGGCAACGCACTGCTTGAAGACAATTCCTTTATGCCACTTTCTAGTGTCCCTAGCTCTGATCATTAAGTTGGATTTAAAATTCCTTTAATTCTCCGACAGAGCCTCCTTGTACAGGTCGATCGACAGATCGCTACTTCTAATTTTCTTCTAATCATCAACTTGTAATGAGGCTAACCAAATTAGCAGACAATGTTGCCTACTACCTGTCATCGAGTTTGTAGTTTGAACATAGCACAAAATCACAGAACGGATAACTTTCATCAAACACTATCACAACTGTTAGTCCCCTTTCATACAAAATTTCCACACACCTCAAGCCTGATACACCCCTTAAGACAAATAGTGGTTTCTCCCTCGCTATGAAGCCATTTGTTGCATGCTAAACACGTTGAGGTCGCGTATCGCATTGTCCATGGTTATAAAAACATAGCCAAAAATAGAAACTGTCTGAAACCTAAGTAACGTGTTGAGATTTTGCAATTAAGCATGTTATGTAAATATTTTAGATCTTGTCATGATTATGAATGGGAGACCTTTAAAACGTCTTCCTTTTCTTCACATGCTTTAAAAAGTATGAGCTTAACTTTTAACCTCAAGGATAGATATCGGATCTTGCAGTTACAACTTGGCAACAGGGAACTACAGTGATATTTGATCTCTTGGCTGCACTTCAAATTTGGAAGGCTCTGAATAATAATATACATAGTATCAAAGTCATGTCATTGAACGCGTAATACTGCCATAGGAAAAAGCAACCCCGTTTCATAGCAAAATCGTACCAAAATCCCAGCATTTTATGATATGAAGCTTTAAATGCATATGGCCACGATTGCGTTGCTAGACTCTTTATGTAACGTTACATACTTTTAGTGGAATAGGTGGTTTTCGTCAATGAAAAAGAGATCGATTTTCGGCCATTGCAATGACCTAACCGTGCATTTCTAAAAGATCAAAGAAACATCCAGGTGTGCGATAAGCCTGTTTCATGAACACTTCTGGTTTCCCCACCATGTCGCGAAGGTTTTGTTTTGTTTGAGAGGGGGTCATTATCAACGTATTTGTTGACAAAACAGAAACGACCTTATGCAAGGTTTCATATTACTTCCAACTGATGAAGAACACCGAAAGGAAATCCATAGAGTCACAAGATAGTATCGTTGTGTTATAATCCTATACAGTAGCATTATTTTTATTTATTTGTGAAAATTCAAGGCGGACGATCATATAGCACCAATGCAACCCAGACGTCCGAAAAGTTCTTTTCCAACAGTTTGGCAAATCGCAAGGTATGATGGGTAAACAAGATGGCAGCCCCCTGATCTAAGGAAGACTGAGTCGAAAGTCTACTGCCAGTTTCCATGTGTAAGTGATCAAAGAGCTACATTTAAAGTGGTTGATCCAGCTGTTGGTCCAATATTATTTTTTGACGCGACTTTCGTAATGTAAGTTGTGTGTAACGTTATTGAATGCAGTGTTGTAGCAAGGAGTGTAGGAACCGCTAGCTAGTCAAAGTAAACTGTAAACTGTGGTGAGATCAAGTCTTGCAAAAATATGGACATATATCGAGTCGTAACATACTGATACCTCTCCCATGTGTTTCCTTGCTGTTGTTTTCACCATTAATTTCTTTCTCTATGTTGTAGCCTACGACGTTACATCCTCGCTTGCTGACGGCAGATAAATGAATGAATGAATGGATGAAGAAAATGATCATCACTATTTGGGTTTTCCTACTTACTACACATTCAACCTGTTTCTTATAAGGCCAAAGCCTGAGTGTTAGAAGACTGAGGATTTTACCAAAGGCATTCAAACTGGCTAGCAATGGATTAGAGATAGGAGTCTAATTCTACTCTAAAGCTTTGCAGTAATACAAGGAATGACTGGATATAATGATGGCAGGTGGTACAATCCTGCCTGTCCCTGCAACTCCAGAGACTCAGCAGAGATGGCAACTGAGGATCACGTTTCAGCAAGGCTTCCAGCTGTTCATGTTGATAAACCTGGTGTTTCTGCTGCTGGTGTTGCTGTGCAGCCTTTTTCTGGAGAGTCAGGTTGAGACGGTACAACAGGATGACTATCAAAACAAAGAGTTCACCGTCCAAATCCCTACCATCGACATAGACAGTCTGTACTCAGACCCCAGATGTGACTTCAACAAAACCCTCAACATCTCTGTTGATCCCAAGTCCAAGTTCTGGAATAGCAGGTCTATCCCAAGGACTCCTGTACGGGATTACAAGGTCATCGTCATCTGGACGCGGTGGTGGGGTGTTCGGCTGTGGGGGGTCCAGGACCACTACTGCCCCTCCATGCCTGAATGTGTTTTCACGGGAGAACGAGAAGAGATTCGTAACGCCGACGCTGTTGTCTTTCACTACCATGACACTCCTAAGGTTTACTCCAAACTCGCTATGCCGCTGACACGGTTTCCTCACCAACATTGGGTGTGGTTTGCAATGGAATGTCCCATTGTGACACGACTGCGGGATCTTGTGTCGTACAGTGGCGTATTCAACTGGACCATGACGTATAGAAATGACTCGGATGTTTTGACTGCTTACGGCTCTGCTAGTCTCACCTACAAAATGTTGAGAGGAATGAAAATTGACCCTAATAAGGACTACGCACTGGGGAAAAAGCATCTAGCAGTGTGGTTTGTCAGCAATTGTTACAAATACCTACCTCGTTTTGCGTACGCAAAGGAACTTGTAAAGCACATTAGTGTGGACGTCTTCGGCCAGTGTGGGGAAGTCATCTGTTCAAAGAAAGATTTCGAGTGCTCGAACCACATCATTAAACAGTACAAGTTCTACCTGTCGTTCGAAAGTTACAAATGCCAGGAGTACATCACAGAGAAATTCTGGAGGAATGCTATTGAGAACAAAGTCGTCCCAGTTGTGTTTGGGGCCCCAAAAACTGATTACGAAAGATACGCCCCTCCTGGTTCTTTTATTCACGTAGACGACTTTGAGTCGCCTAAAGCCTTAGCAGATTATCTTAAGAACCTTGACAAAGATAAGGAGAAGTACAACCAGTACTTCAGATGGAGAACTCGCCCTCCCATGGGTGCAGTACCAGAGGATTATGGCAGGTGGTGCAATTTATGTCGAAAGCTCCATCAGGTGTGCCCTACAGAGAGAAAGGTGTACACAGACCTGGATGGTTGGTGGAAGGGGGAGGACAATGATGCCTGTGAACCTGTTGTATTGAAGGATAAGTCCAAAGACCCCATGTATGCAATATATTTTTAACAGAAGCAATGATAATTGTGTTGCAGATTTGATCCTTTGTTAGTACATGTACTGATATGGCTAACCCAGACATGTACATGTACAAATGTATATAAAATGTGATTAGGTTGTTCATGTAAAAGTGAAAAGGATATTTCATGACTTCTCATTATAGATGTATTTAATTTATGTGAATGCTCATTATAACTTTAATTTATATTAAATTATAGTTTAGTGTCATTTGCCATACATCGTATCCAATGCCAGTGTTACGCAGTAGACTTTGACTTGACTTATAACAAGCACAATACGTACTGCTGCAATTTACAGAGTGCATGTAATATTGCATATGAGTCTAATTTAAATCATTTCACATGCAATATATTTCTTGATTATGAAAGTCTCCTGTATCTGTGTGTGTGTGTGCATGTATGTGTGTGTGTCTGTATGTATACATTGTACAGGGAATTGATCTGTAGTCGCCGTATTTGGATTGTGACATTTGATGTAGGGGTACTAGTAGTCATAGGCTGTGTGTAGTTTTCCTTGGTACTGCAGCAAAAGTTATATAGGGATCGCAAAACAAGCATGACAAAGAAACAGTCCAAAGCCAGTGTTTATTCCATTAAGACAGTAAGATTTAATTTACAAGATATTTCTACTCTCATTTCAGTCCAACATTTGTGGGATGAATAGCCCTGGCAATACAGATAGACGTGACAGTATCCTGCCGACCTGCTTTCTTTTCAATGTGCACATGTATTAAAAGGCAAAAAAGGACGCTTATCTAATCCTATGTGCCTTGATTTTACTTTGCTTGAAGCATTGTAAGTTGCACTCCTCCTGGTACACCCGTACCAGCCATAATGTTAATGAGTTATCTAAAATTTAGTGTCATCTGTGTTAATAAAGTAATTCTAACTAAATTCTTTTGGTGTGCTAATCAACTTCTGGGCAAAGAATGTTAACTAAAACACCAAATACAAATGTACAGAAATTCCAAATGCTTGTATAGACACCAAATTTTGGCATTCTGCTCCGAAAAACGTTCATTTGAATATCAGAAAATTTCTTGACTTTCAGTCAGTATCATGTTGTAGGTGTCCTGTTTTATTACACTTTTATCATCACACCTCAGAAGCATGTACCAGTGAGTTGAGTTTATTGAGCCTAACCTCTCATCTCCTATCTACAAGCAGATCATACGGTGGAAAGGAAGTATCCATTGGCAAGAGGAGTGTGCATTGGCCACTGAAGGCTAATGAATACTGCGTTGCCACCGTAAGATCTGCTTGGAGATTACGATACCCTTCCTCATACCTCAGACCCTTGTACCAATGCAACAACCTCTTCAGTCCCTTGTACTAGTGCAACCTCCTCAGAACCTTGTACCAGCAGTGCAACTTCCTCAGTCCCTTGGTAAAAGTGCAACCTTCTCAGACCTTTGTACCACTAACCTGGTATCAAGTCTATCGTGGTTGGGCAGGTTTTCCTTGGAGCTTCTTAAGCTCTTCCCTGCTCCAGCTAGGTTCCCCTGGTAGATTTTTCATGGCAGGAGTTTGATTGGGCAAGTTAACTCTTGGCATGCCAAACTCTATCAGCGTACTAGTAACACTATTACCGAGCGGCCTGTTGTAATGGGCGGGGGAAAACTATTACAGCCATGAAGACAGCCTGCCCCAACTACGATAGACTGGACACCAGGTTATTGTACCAGTGCAACCTCCTTGCTCAGACCTCCGACCCTTGCACCAGGGGAACCTCTCCCTCTTCTTCCCTGGGATGGAAGTCCAGTATCACCCTGTTGGCCTGCCTCTCGTACTGCCCCTGCTTGTAGTAGATCTTCACCACCCCTTTCACCGCGATGTAGAAGATCCCTCCGAGGACCGCCCGCTGCCAGTTCGGCCTCACGCCGCGGAAGAAGAGCTTCCCGCAGATGGTGGCCATGGTGGGGAGGGCCATCGCCCCGAGGAACAGCCTCAGTCCCGACTTCACGGCGTCTGCCCCGTCCCCTCCCTCCGCAGGCTCCCGGGCGTACGCCGCCGGGGCGTGCTTGACGAAGGGAAGCTTGTTGCCGTGCCGACGCCACACCCGGAGGAGGTACTGGTCCCAGGGGATCATCCTGGCGAGGATGAGCATGTAGGGGATGGTGGGGAGCATGATCATGGCCACAAGCGGGTCGGCCTGGTCGATGGCTTGCGTGCCCTCCTGTAGGCCCATGACCTGCACCACGGTCAGGAAGCCGAACGTCCAGGAGCACCAGTACACGGAGATGCAGAAGCCGATCCCGGCGCAGTACGGACTGACGGAGAGCAGCCAGCTGTCCACGCCCTCCAGGATCTTCACTATCGGGTTGCAGCTGGGAAATACTGTGGAAGAGATGGTACAACATCCGTGAATAGTTTCATCGGGTTGGTAAGTCCTGAATAAAGACATGGGGGAGGGGTGCCGACAACGCTCAACGCTTACTTTTGAGAGCCAGCTACGTATCATGCTGAATTTAAGAAGCCTCCCCATTACGCTTTACTATATTAAAATATCAGGTAGCTACAATGCATTACGTAGTATGAAAACTGCGAATTAGGCTCTATGTAAAATGTGCCAATTACGCTCTACGTTGAATTAGAAGAGTCCATCTATGCTCAGCAGTTCATCTATGCTCTACGGCCGATTACGCTCTACGGAAAAGGGCATGCGGGCCCCCGTAAAACCAACACCCGCAATGGCTAGAAGTCCTCACCTATGATGTACTCTGCCTCACACTGTGGACACCTGACCACCGTCGTGCTGTTGCCCTTCTGTTTCTCATCGATCCAGCGCTGCAGACACGCCTCGTGAACCCACTTGCTGGTCCCGCGGCAGTGACACGGCCTCAGCCATTTGGCACTCGGTTCGTCCTCCACCGTGGCGAAACATACCCAGCATGTGGCTACAGGGACTTCTGTCTCTGTTGCTGTTGCAATTGTGGTTTTCTGAGCCTCTGTAGTAGGTTTAAAAAGAAGCATTTAATATCATAATGATGATTTTTTAAAATGAGGCCTACAATAGTTCTGTTTTTGTGAGAGTCTGAGCAACAATTATAATAATAATGTCAACTGTATCACTATATCATGGAAGGACAGAAATACACAGAATGAAATGTCATGCATCATATGTTATAATTGTAATAGCATATTGCATGTGTACTGTGTCATGTGTAGTTACGCTGTGTAACCTGTCTTTAGAAGAAAAGGATAGGCCACATGTAGGAACACATCTTGCATGGACTGTGCGTTTCAGAAAACAGAGCTGCTAGAATAGATGTGAAACAGCTCACCTCTAACCCCAAATATCTGCTTGAATATTATGCAACAACAATACGATCCCACTATTAAAACTGCAGTTGATTAATAAAAAAGATGTCCCGTTACCTTGTTTTTCCTCTATACTTGTTGAAGTGGCGCCCTGGGCACTGTCAACAACGTCAACAGTCTCGCCGTCGTGTTGAACCGGAACATCATGATGCAACACAGAACTACTCAGAGCAGTTTCGGCAGCGACCTCGGCCACCTCTTCTTCGAATTCGGGGTCAACCTCGTCAGTTTTGTCCTCCAAGACACATTGGTGCTCTTCTTCTGAGTCACTCATCTCTAGCTAATCGCCTGGATATTAGTTTATACCTTGTTTTCGACGAGAAAGTGGGCAAAAGTTACTCAGTTTGGTGCAGAGTCCAATTTTTCGTCACTCCTGTCGCCATCTTGAACGCGGAAGTGGAGCGCAACAGTGAGCAGTGCCACCTAGCGGTCTTTAAAGAAGTGCAGCCAGGTGTAAAGAATCGGAGAATCGTCTCGCTGTTTATGAGGTACAACAATGCAGATGTTGGACAAAAAGCTTTCACATCGCTTTTTTCTGAAAACGATCCATTCAGAGCTTAACTACTCGTAACATTCGTATACAGAAAAATATGAATTTGTAGCTAGGGTCTAACAAAGAGGAGGTTACATCTCACACAGGTAAATAGCGGAGGAGCTAGGTGTGGTGTGAGTTTCTTTAGATTGAATGTGCGGGGGTGAGCGCGAACGCAGACCCCCACTATCAGAAATTACGCAGCCGAGTTACCCGCGTTTGGGGTAATCGCAGGGTTCAGCAAGACCGTTTAGTGCAATGGCCAGGCCTCGCCCTGGACGATCGTCGTTTTTAATTGGGGTATAACAAAATCAAAAAAAGAGTGAAAACTAGACAAGAGAGACAGGAGGTTTTTTAACTATTTTCTTTTTTTTTCAACTTTTCGACGTGACAGAGACATAGACAAAGGAAGGGGAATAGAAAAAGGATGTGCCAAGCTACCCACGACAGGTTACTGTCCAAGTGCTCCCACCAACCCACTCCTGCCAACTTGACACATCAAAATAAAATAATGACATAAAAGACAGACATTTCACAACAAAAAACTGATACGACTAGAAGGGAACGGGGGATTAAAACCGCAGGCGTAGTTTTCCCCCTACGACCTTCGCCCAACGTACTGAAGAGCACCACTGTGCTCGGAAAGCTGCCTCACCGAGGCGTACAAAGTCTAGCTTCAGTCTTGAGCGGAGGCACTCCTTGATGTACGGCACTATCTCAACGTGGGTTATAAACGTTTTGTCAAAGAGTGCCTCACATCTCGAGGACCAAATCCGTTTCCTCGCGATAGCGATGACGTAGATTATGACATCTCTCTTACACTTTGGCCAGGAGGTTGGCACAATACCGAAGATGACCATATGTTTATTGATCCGGAAGTCTGACAATATCCATCTCCTGATGAAGCCCTCCACCCATGTCCATGTGAGTAACACTTCGTTACAGGACCACATCACGTGGTCCATTGTTTCGAATCCATTGCAATTGTTCCTCGGACATGTGCCCGAGTGGATAAACCTCCACTTAGAGTACAGCAGAGCATTCGTCTTAAGGGCATGGTGGGCAACCAGCCACGCCGTGTCTTTAAGTCTGTTTTCCAGGAGGGGGTGTTGGACTGATTGGAAGGTTAAAGACCAAGGAACGGAGCGCTTGTTTAGACAGACAGTTGGCACGTGAGCATCCTTCATCAGAAGGTCGTTGTACAGGGAACGCGTAGTACAGCCAGTGTCCCACTGTTTAGAGGGAGATGCTTCTACGAGTTCCAAAACACAGGTTTGGAGGGCCTTGTATTGAGGAGGGGCGTTCGGGGAATGGGGCATGTTGTTCGACCAGGTGGATGGGTCAAACCGTCTTAAGAAGAAGCCAAGCCAGTACCTGGCCAACTGTACCCAGGGCATTTTACTCTGCGACAAGATGTCCGAGAAGGGGCGACTGTACAGGCATTTCGCCTTTTTTGCTATGTTTGTCAGACCCCAGCCGCCCTTCTCAGGGGGGGAGGTAGATTGTGTTCCGGCTTACCATCTCCCGCCGTTTATCCCAGAAGAAATGAAACAAGGCGGTTTCGATCTCTTTAATGACAGAATCAGGAGGGATGAACACCGACGCTATATACCATAGTTTGGCGGCGGCCAGTGCATTGGCCACCGTAACTCTGCCGGTGAAGGAAAGGGATCTGGTTCCCCACACCTGCAGAGTTTCAACGAATTTTCGTTTTCCCTCTTTCCAATTTGTGACAGGCATGTCGATGTTCCCGAAGGTTCCACCGAGTAGACGGATAGACCCCGATGTCCATTGTATGTTAACCGGACTGTCGGGTCTATGTCTCCATTTTCCCAGCCATAGTCCCTCACACTTATCTAAGTTTAACCTAGAACCAGAGCCCCTGTTGTAGAGGTCAACCAGGTCAAAGAGTCTCACTATCGATTTGTCTGATGTGGGGAAGGCAGAGTTATCGTCCGCGTACAGCGACATTTTGGCTTCGTAGCCACCTGGTAATTTGACTCCGCACATCTCGGGGTCTTTACGCACTGTCGCTGCAAACGGTTCGAGTGAGATCGCATACAAGAGTGGGGGAGAGAGGGACCATCCCCTGCCCGTACCCCCCTCGTCAAAGCAAAGGGGGACGATAGGGAGCCGTTTACCAACACGGAGCTTGCGATGTCGTGGTATAGAATTGAAACCCACTTCCTAAAGGAGGGGCCAAACCCCATCTTTGTAAGGGTTTTGTGCAAAAAGGAGATGTTTACGCGGTCGAAAGCCTTTGCTTGGTCCAGTGAGACAATAGCACAGTCAATGTTGTTGTTATTGGCATAGACAACTATGTCTCGAATCAGTCGGAGATTGCATTGAATTGATCTGCCGGGTACACCACAGGTTTGATCCGGGTGCAACACCGACGATACTACGGACTGAAGGCGGTTGTTGAGGACCTTAGTTAGTATTTTATAATCGGTGTTTAAAAGGGAGATTGGTCTCTTGTTTTTGGGATCCAATTCGTCCCCTTTCTTAGGCAGCAGTGTTACAACTCCGAATTTCTGGCTAGGGGAAAGTTCCCCGGCGTCAAAAACTTCATTGAACACCATCAGTAGATCATCGCCTATTAAATGCCAAAAGGTAATGTAGAACTCTTTTGGGAGTCCATCACTGCCCGGGCATTTGTTGTTCGCCATACTATGTACGGAGTTGAAAAGTTCATCGGAAGAGAGGGGGGTCTCCAGTAATTGGACCTCCTCTGTGCTCAGAGTGTTATCAAGATTGCTACATAGCTCATCGGAGGCAACCGGGTCTACCGGCTCTTCCGTGAACAATTCTGCGTAGAATTCTTTGTAAACATTGGAAATCTCGTCATCCTCGTGGACGACTTGACCTGCCGAGTCACGCACGGCTGAGATGTTCTTTTTCCTGCCATTGGAAGCAGCCTGTTTTAAGAAAAATGACGTACACTTCTCTCCTTCCTCGAAGTGTTTAATTCTTGATCGTACCATGGCACCTTGTGCTTCAGACAGTGCCAGTTCAGCGAGAGCATTTTTCGTTGACTGGTATTGTCTCAGTGTGGCAGGGGAGACGTTGCCAGCATTTAGTTGGTTGGTGAGGTCTCCCAACCTGTTATTGAGTTGGTATCGGTCGTCTCTTTTTTCTTTCGCTATCTTGCAGGAGTGTTTGATAAATAAGGAGCGGGTTCTCTGCTTAACGTCATCCCACCAAGACCTTAAAGATGGGAAGCCCGGTTTTAGCGTCTGCCAGTCCTTGTAGGATGTTATAAAGTCAGTCTGGACTTCTTGATTCTTTAGGATGGAGACGTTACACTTCCACAAGGAAGATTTCTTTTTAATTGTGGGGAGGACTTCGATCTTCACACAGTCGTGGTCAGTGAAGTATGCTGGGAGAAAAGTGTGGCTGTGGTTAGGTAGACTTTTGGATACGTAGAATCTATCTAAACGACATGCTACACTGTTGTCCCCTGAGCGCCAAGTATATACCCGAGCGTCCGGGTTTAGCTGCCGCCATGGGTCATGTAGATTGTGATTATCACAGAGGTGTCTTAAAACTTTTGCGCCGCCAGAACTACGATTCGGGTTTCCCCCTCTTTTATCCAGGCTGAGACTCTCTATGCAGTTGAGATCCCCACATAGAATTGTAGGATCGGCGTTAGATAAGAAGTTGCTTAAACTGCGGTAGAAGTCTGATCTTTCCGCAGCTTCATTTGGTGCGTAGACATTGCAGATTCTTAAAGATCGTGTGCCGTTAGACAGAACAACACACACGACACGCCCATCTTCATCGCAGAATTTTTTAACAACATTGAGGTCGAGGGAAGGGGAAAGCAGAATTCCTACTCCTCTCGCATTGGGCGTACCCAAGCTCCAAAGAGCTTGCCCACCCCATTCCCTCTCCCACAAGGCTGTTTCTTCAACGTGTGAAATGTGGCATTCCTGTAAGCACACAATGTCAAAATGTTGTTGTCTACAGAAGTTATACACTTGCCTGCGTTTGTTGGGATTACGCATCCCACAGGCGTTTAAAGTTGCTATGACTACCATTGTTAAAAAGTTAAGGCATACAGCCTATGCTTGGTTCGAGTCATCATTATTATTATAAAGATTCTTCAGAGGATTCGAACTCTTCAATTTGGAGATCCTCAGCAAGAGGGAGGTCGTAATCGGTGGGGCGGACTGTCTTTGACGAGGGGTTAGCCTTTCTTTTAGGGCTGACCTCGTCATCCGACCGGGTTGATGCTGCCGGCCTCTTGGCCGTCATTTTGCCAACTTCCATTCCTGTAATCTCGGAGTCTTTTTCATCTGATGACGTACCAGTGGTTTCAGAGATCGTGGTCTTCTTGACACCCGTTTCCTTTGCCATAAGTTCGAGAGTTACGGCCTGTTCAATTTCATTATTCTGATTAGGGGGTTCGTTGTTCTTTCCCCTGACCTTGTTTCGTCGTCGGTTTTTGCGGCGGGAAGTCTTACTCTGCGCCTCAGCTTTGGGCTGGGTGCTCTCGCTCTCGTTTCCAGGGGAGGGAGTTAGGGATTTAACTCCATTTTCTCCTCTGTGTCCTCCTCGGAGGAATCTGCTGACTCCTCCTCGGAGTTATCCTGCTCATCAGGGTCTTGCCCCTGCGACATAGGAGAGTCGTGAGCCACTGTTTCAGACTCAGTCTGCTCCACCTGAGCAGGGACTCCAGAGCTGCACGTGGACTTATCTACCACAGCTTCAGGACCCTTGGTCCATTTGTTCTCAAGCTGTAGCTTATTTGCGTAGGATGTTGGGCACCGGCGAGCGGTGTGGCCTTCCTTGTTGCAATTATTGCAGACTATGTCATTGGTACAGTCAGAGGCGATATGACCGACCGTTTGGCACTTGTTGCAAAAGCGGACAGTGCAGTTCGCCGCTTCATGACCCTCTTGATAACATTTGATACACGTTCTGACTTGGCCAACATAGCTGAAAAACACCAGACGACCATCCGCCAACCTCCAAGAAGACGGGACGTTTACGCCTGGCTTGAGGACAACTTTGTACTGTCTGTTGCCATTTCTGACGGAAGGCCTGTCCCTGTAAGTTACCATACGGGAAGCAAGGACCTGTCCGAAACGTGACAAGTAGTTCCTGACATAGTTATCGTCGAATTCGTCAGGAATTCGGGAGGCTGTAATGATGGACTCAGCGCTCCCGTAGACACGAACATCTACACAGTCTAGCTGTGCTAGCTTACCAGCATACAATTTCCTATCCCGCAGGGTGCGGAACGTTACGTCGAAAGATGTCTGATTCAGCGCCTGTACAGCCTGTAGACTAGAGGTGGGGACACCAACAGTGTCTAACAGGGCAAAGGCATCTGCAGCAGACAGCCTGTCTTTCTGTGTGGTTGTAACACAGATAGAGTTATCTCTCCTCATTTTGTACGATCTATCGGGGGGTTTGTACGCAGAAGGCTTTGTCTGAGCCCCTACCCGCACCTATGGTAGCGCAAAATGTGCCTGGGAGGATTCTTGGAAAACCCTTTTGGAGCCTTTAGCCAGACACTGTGGCGCCGGCGACTTACAAAACAACACGGCCACCCAAGGGGTGGGCGATACCACCCCACAAGAGAGGGGAGGGCAAGTGCGTACAATGGCTCGTACAACAACAATTTACGGGAAAACAAGAAGAAAAGTAGCCGTACTGTTATAGACCAACCTCCTGACCTTCCACACGAGGTGGGACTTGGGCCCAACCCGTGAAAGGCTGGAGAACTCTGAGAACAGAAGACCGGAAAGTGGCGAGCCACGCCGCCGGCTTGCACCGCAAGGTCTACCGGGGCGTCTCCTCACCAGGAATACGGTCGCACAGAAACGACCGTAGTGTGCTTAAATAAGCACCCTCAGACTCCACAAAACCACCAAAATAATCCTGGGAAGCCCAGCAAACCGAATATCGACAGTCCAGACCAGGATGTCCACTTTTTCCGGCCGAAAACGGCCAAAAACGAGGACTACACACGGAGCGTCAAGCAGGAGTGTGCTGACGCTACGCATGCGCACTGGACGGACCGTCGTGCATGATCAACGAATCATCTCTGCCAGGTAAGTATGCTGTAGGATGGCCCACTTTTCGCCCCGGTCAAGACAAGAGTCTATTTATGTTGTGGTTTCGTCTATGTAGGCTTTCTTTGATTTTTGTTCAAATTTGAAGCATTCTACTACAAGAGAAAATTGCAGTGACCCCTAAAATTTGCCTTCATTTGTTTTGTGTGACGAGATAAACTCGTTGCGATAATATAGAGGATAGCTATAAAAACGTTTGAGTGTTCTTGATGCCTCGCTAACATAACGCGTTGTGCTGACGTCATTGCGCAGGGTAACACAGGTGAAAGTAATGACGTCATCGTAAGGTGCATCCAATATGATTGAGAACAAATACACTGTTATAGGTTGCCCTAGCAGCAAAATATGCGTTGAAATGTTTAGGCAAACGATGAGTTCAATGCTAAAAGTATTTTAATGCCGTTTTTTTTTTTAAAGAAACAATGCACGTATCGATGCATGGTTATCACAATGTATTTAAACGTTACACATATAAGGGGCTCAGTACCTTATGTTCACAGTATTTTAATCTAAATACATTCAGTTCGTTGTGTTATAATTTCGACTAAGAATAAAAGAAGAGAGTTTTTGCCTTTTAATTTATTCATTTCATTCTTTGTTGTCATCATATTTTCATCCCCGAGAAAACGACTCCGTGTGCGCTCTCCCTACTACTCATACCTTTGATATGCAAATGAGGCGCCATGACAACCTCACGCTGAAAGTTTTGAGCTGTTTTCTTCTTCGCGAGTAGTCGAGATTTGAAAACGTCAAGAAAAACATGCCGAATTCTGCATCCTAGCGAAGACCACGGACAAAGAAACCATGGCGGACGTCGAGAAGGAGAACTTGAAGAACCTGGAGGAGAAGCAGAAGTCGAGACCGGGCACGGGTAGCCAGGGGAAAGTCAGTAAACCGCCGTCGGCTGGAAGCGGGCCCGCCTCCCGACCGCACAGTCGCACCAGCCCGGCGCCTTCTCGCAAGGTAACTAACGGCGTTTTCTGAACCTTTTGATCGAGATTTTTTGGCTATGAACTAGCTAATGGTGTGCAACAGGTTGTAAGTGTACGCTGTGTGCGTCTTAAGGCTGATAGGCACCGTATATTACTATAATCATTCTAAAAAGATTCAGAAAGCTCGAAGTCTTGACAAAATGTCACCCCCCTCCCCAAGTCTTCAAGCAGATGTGATGTTTTGCTCAGCTTTGTGATGAGCTGCCTTCCTGTTAGTAACACTTACATCTTCTTGGAGATAACATTTTTTTCAAAGAACTCTGAACTTGACTGACAAAACACATCCAACTCATAAAATATGTGTGAATATGTTGTATTGTATCAATTTTTTTATGGAAATACCCTTAGCATTATTTATGCCAAATAACCCTAGTTGAAAACCCTAACTGATATTATTCTGAAAAACTAGAAATATTATGAAAAGGTCTGGAAAGAATTACAGGTACATGTAAGCAGTCATTACAGGATGTGATAACTGTGGCTAGTTCAAGTTGGCTGCATATTAATAAGTCAAACAAAAACACCGGGTAGTATATATTAGTCCATGACAAGTTTAATTTAATTTAATTGTCACTTCCAGAGCGTTAGTCGGAATGGCAGTGCACGCTCGTCCGCCAAAGGACGGCCTGGAAGTAAGATCTCCAACATGTCCGGGGACGTCAGCGACCAGAGCGACAACGAAGACACGCGGTCCAAAACCACGATGGAGGAGGGGGACGGGGAGGGCAGCGATGGCTACGACACAGACCTCGAGATAGAAGGTACATGTAACTAGTCCCCACCAGACTTCTTTTGCGGGCTGAATGAATCATAGAAATCGGCCTAAAAGGGTATTAATTGGCAAGAGAATGTAGCTGGCCATCGACGATCAAATGGCAAATGGAGCTTCTCTGGCCGGCTACCTTCTCTCGCCAATCAATACCCTTTTTAGGCCAATGTCTACGATCAGGTCTACGATTTATTCAGCCTGCAAAAGAAGTCTGGTGGAGACTAGTGTGTAACAGTTGGGTTCAAGCACTGCAAACAGATCCATTCCAGTGGGTCTGGACGTTTTGGAGTAGTCGTTAGTGCGCTGGTGTTGTAAACTGGCTGCCTGGGTTCGGTGCAGGTTCGATTCCTGGTGTCCTGGGAGTCAGGGTTTTTCCAGTTTCTACTCGCTGCTATTTGTTAGAGGTTAGATAAGTGTTTTTGTTGTTATTCATTCATTTTATTAGTATCATCTTAAGTTTAAACTATCCTTGAACTAATATCACACATTGCATTGTGCGTAGTTCTTTTGCAAGGGACTCTGCCCCTAGAACAAGAAGTTGAGAGTTTGAATCTCGACTACTAATCTTGTTTACCCAACTTGAATGCTACTGGAAAGGTTCCTCAAGAATGTTTTGAACACCAGGTCCTGGATACCAGAAGTGTACGTTATGCCATAAAAAAGGCATAGGACATAGTTAAGTTTTTAAATTTACCATTTGTTTAAAATCTGACAGTTTTAGGGTACTCAACAGGATTACAATGTTGATGTTACATGTGCTTTCAGCCATGCAAAAAGCTTAGTTTATGCTTTGCTTCCTCAGAGACAGACTGCTTTTATATTCATGAAAGATAACATCTTTTGTCTGTAAGTATATTTAAACCCCAGGCAATTGTGACATTGAATGGAATGTTTATTAGTGCAACCACTCGGAATGATTAGATAAATCGTGTATCAGATGGTCTTTGCTCTCGAGAGGATCAAATTACTTACTTCATAATTCATACTGTCGTACAATGACACCTTTATTGATGTTTCGACAAATATATCCAAAGGGCTCCCTAAATTATTGATTAAACAATCTCTAATGTGGTTACATTGACATTACAGCAACAATAGGAAAGCATTACTTGTGATTTGGGGTGACCTTTTGCCATCAATTATTGATTCTTCCCATTTCCTATCTTTTCAAACGCTAGAAGTTGGAAAGTTTTACAGGTTTAACCTTTTTTTATTTACTTAAATATTCACCTCAAAACAAGGCTCAAATGAACCACTTACACGAACTGTAGACTGTAGAGACAGATGCTTGTTCAACCTAGATTCGAAAAGTTTAATGTTGTACCCATTTTGGAAGCATTCACAAGGAAGCTTGTTCCATAGTGATGGAGTTCTAGGAAAGAAGCTTTTAGTGTGGAACTTTATCTTGAGAGATGGAGTATGGAGGAAGAAGGGTGATTTGCTTCCGTAGTAGTAGAAAACTTTTTCATAGTTGTAGTATTTTACATCTATCTTCTCACATGTTTTCATCCTTACCAGAGCTAAACTCAGATTCTACCTTTTTTTTCCCAACAGATAAGAGAATAGAGTATGACTCTACTGGCAGGACGACGTACAAGGAGGCGTGTAAGCAGATCGGGGTCGTCCCTGTGTCATACTTCCTCCGGCACATGCAGGACTCGGAGCTGGTCATGATGCACCACGGTCTGGGACCGCTCGGAGCAAAGGCCATAGCGACATCTCTGGTGGTACGGTCTTTACAGTCCGTTCTTACTCTCAGTTCTTTGATCGCTATGACAGATGTGTACCTCTTTTGTGCACCCCTATGTGTGGGTTAAAACAGGCCAATTCTGGTTGAAGTTTTGGTGGCAGGCAGACTCCAGCTGACAACTGCTGGTTATTTGAGTTTGTCAATAAATACTGGAAGAGATACGGAGCACGTTCACTTAAACAGGACTCGAAGTTTATTTTTCAGAATAGGTACACTATTGCTCCTTAAAAATCTAGGTGCACAGAGAAATATCTGGTCGCATCTAGTACATGTATCAAGAATATACTGTACTTGATGAAGCTATCCACATATCTCTTGCAGACGAATACGACCATCCTGAAGCTGAACCTGAGAGACAACTGGTTAGAAGCCCAGGGAGGGAAGTACATTGCAGAGATGCTGGTGGAGAACTGCTACATACATGATCTGGTAGGTTGTGTCTTAATCTAACTCAAAACAGTGTCATAATCACTATCATTTGCCAGTGTTATCTGTCAAATTTTGCATTAGATAAGGACACTACAATTTATTTTCTTGGTGCTCTGACATTTTTTAAAACAATTTTGCAGCTGACAGTCATTTCTTCCTAAAATTGTATGTTCCAAGGTAGAGACTTTCTCCTCAGATTCTTCTCATGATATGAGTCCTTTTGATACAGAATTGGGACTGCTAATTATTGTATCATTTCTCACATTGCCCTCTCATGTCTCCTCTACAGGACCTGTCCTACAACAAGATTGGGAACGATGGAGCAGAACCGATAGCAGAGATGCTGCAGGACAACTCCACCCTGGACAGAGTCCTCCTGTCGGGAAACGGCTTTGGGGACAAAGCTGCAGAGGCATTCGCTGAGGCCATCATGGTGAGCAGGTTTTGACTGGCTGACGGCGTTCCCCCAAGGGGTGGTCTCAAAGTTTGCATATTGTTTCCAAAACTATTTTGTGCAGTGATTTCTAATATTTTGTTGGAGAATGTGTGATATTTTGAGACCACCCAAAACTGCTTAACTTTGTTGGTCTTGATTACCCCTGTACTAAAGTGGACTTGTCCAAAAGTCTGACATGGGGGGTATCCAAAACTTGGCCTTACCATTTTATGACAGGGGTGATCTAGACTGATGGGCATGCAGTTACTTGGGAAATTTTTTTGCTGGCTAAAACCTGCTAATCTTGATGGCCTGAGCTCTGTTTATGTGCAGTGTTTGTCACTAACTGTTTTTTTTGCCAGTTTCTAATGGCTGACGGTATACTTTTATTTATTTTCTTTATTTTTATTTGCTTGGTTTTCATGCATGATTGCATCCATGCTTTATTTGTTTGCAACTGTGTGCAGCCAGAATGTTTCATTTTGTTACAGAGTCTGGAGGTTCATGCAATGTTTTGATTTTTGCGGTGTGTTGTTGCAAATGAAATGACTATTTCTGTAGAATATCAGTGTTAGAAACCACTTTCCCCTCCCTTTCCCTATCCCTTCTAAGTGATTAAGTGGAGGTAGACATCAGAATTACCTGCATAGCTCCAACTTTACCTACACTCACCTGCAATACACGCAGTCTTTTGAGCTCTGCTTACCTTACCTGAGCCTTAACCCCCCCTCCCAATCCTTCTAACCCCTCGTCTTGCCACCCCCCCAATCCCTCTGCCCTCTGACCCCTCCTTTCGTCCCCCAGAGTAATCAGAAGATGGAGGAGATGGACCTGAGTCATAACGAGTTTGGGGAGGTTTCCGGAGGGCTGCTAGGGCCGGCCATCGCTGAGAACAGCCAGATGAAGGTACTGGACCTCAGCTGGAACCACCTGCGCAGGAAAGGGGCACTGGCTGTGTCTGAAGGCATCAGGGTAGGTCTTTACTGTATCTGTATCTGTAGGTATTCGGCCCTTCGGCAGGAATATCAGCCCTTTGATGTAATACACCTGATGTCCAGCTTCTGTATCTGTATAGCCAGTATAATTATAGCCCTTCAGCGTAACACACCAGCTTCTGTATAGCCAGTATAAAATAACAGCCTTTTTGTGTAACACGCCAGCTTTTGTATCTCTATAGCCGGTATAACAACCCTTTGTTTGACACCAGCTTCTGTATCTGTATCTGTATAGCTAGTATAAGCATGCTTCCGTCACATACCAGCTTCTGTATAGTCAGTATACCGAAGACAAAGTGTGAAATATCCTGTTTGTTCTCTAAGGACAACATCACCATAACTCACCTGGACCTGTCCTGGAACGGGTTTGGTGATGACGGAGCCGAGGCCATCGGAGATGCCCTCAAGTCCAACAAAACCCTGGAGTTTCTGGACATGAGGTAAGGCATAGAAGTCAACTGTTTGTAGCCTAGTACATGTATCATTGGGTTATTGTAGTAGTCATGAGTTGCTAGTATTGGACTGATACTGGACATTTCTGTTGGATTACAGTTGGTCAACGTTGCATCACAATTTTGTCTGTTGCAAAAGATATCTTTTCTGACACAACATTTGAAAACTACAGATGGGATATCATCCTTAAATACTCAAATACGACCTTAAACAATATGTTTTTTAGAAGTGCTATTCACATGAGGTTACAGATTTTGCACAGGTGCTGTACGGTTTGCCAAAGTGCTATTCTGTATATGGTATATCAATTTTGTAGTGCTGCTTTGTACTTAAAAACCTTTGGCGCTGTTTTGGCACTGTTTGAAATATTCATTGGCTTAAAAAAGTATGAATTTATGGACAGTCCATAGGGCGGTCTTTACTTTTTTGCCATACTGTCTGATTACCTTGTTTTGTCTTGTCTTGCTGCAGTAACAACAGAATCTCTACCGAGGGCGCAGTCCTGCTAGCTAAGGGGTTGATAGAGAATGATACACTCAGAGTGCTGAAGGTTAGTACAGTTACTACTGTAGAATAGTGATCAGGGCTTGAAATGCCACCTGTATATGCAGGTTAGTGCAGGTAAAAATGGAGCTGTCACAGTTAGTAGGTATATTTTATGTCTACCTGACCTGCATTGGCATGTGCTGGGTTTACATGTATATAGTTTTGGGGGCCATGCCTGAAAGTGCAGAAAAACAGCATTAGTTATGTTTGCACTTTTTTTCTATTCATGGAAAACTATATTTTATGGGAACAAGTTATAAAGATTTTTATGTTATTATAATGACATTTTTTTGTTGTTGTTGTTTAGATGGGGAAGAACCCAATGCAGTCTGCAGGTTGTTACGGTGTTCTGAAGGGGATCTCCCAGAATGAGAAGTCTGCCATCCAGGAGCTAGACTTCTCTGTAAGTTCTGGTCTATCAAATAATCTGATAATATAACAATGAATTGTAAAAATGTGTCTTTTTATTCCTGCTCATATACAACGAAGAACTGATTCACGTTTCAATATTTCAAACCTGAATTTAGACACATAAGATAATATATTATTTCTTAGAACTACTGTAGAGAGGCAATTGTTGGTATCAAATATAATAGGTGCCTTTCTACAATTTAAAATATATTTCCAAAATACTAATTATATTATCACACTAATTCTTTGTCATCATGCCTAAGTTGTAGAGTGAACCAGTTAAGCCAAACATGTGACTTGCTGGCAAAATACACTGTCCAAACAAATTCTGTCAACATGTTGGCATGCTAACCCTCCCCCCCTCCCACCTCTCTACTGTAGGACATCCTGGTGAATGATGACTTTGATGAACTGCTGAAACAGGTGAAGGAGATGCTGCCTGCTCTCCTCGTCAAAACAGGTACAGTTGACTCTCAACTGAGTGTATACTTACTGTAGCTTAGTCAGTTTGGCTTGGGTGGAGTGTAGCTGTTAGATCTAGCCATACTTCAGATCATATCATTATGAAATCAGTCATTTTTCATACAGTAACAGGTATTTTTGATTGAATAATGTTGCTCTGGTTTTCAACTCAGTTACTGTACTATTTCAAAATGCTTATTTTCAGTGCCAGGCACATACAGACATGTACCAACTCAATTCTTACACTAGCCCATACACCATAAGTTTGTTTCTTGTTCTACAGTGTTGTTTAATTTCACTCCTGTTTTCTTTGCAACTTTGGTTGTTTGTTTATTTAGTAGGATCTCCATTAGTGTTTTGTTACTTTACACTATTCTTCCTATAGTTCAACTGATAGTTATAGTTAGTACATGTAGTTTGTGTTTTTTGTCTTTCACCTTTTTCATGACTCATCTCTTACATCTCTGTGTCCGCATCATGACAACAACAGCGGAACGAGTACATGGCAGGGGTAAAACTTTTCGCAGCAGTATTGAAAGTGGTGGTGTATTTGGGAGCACATTATTTTCAGACTCACCTTGGTCCTTATACATGTGTATGAAACATTACTGCATTGGGACTTACAGCTGCAACATTCTTTGTTTACAACCACTTGTTTAACAAGAGCTGACATTTGATGATGGTCTGTCTGACTCTGTCATCTTTATCAGGGCAATTATGACTGGTTCACTCTACACTGAAGCTAGGTGTTACTGTGCTGCTCAGCTTAATATTTGTTGATACGTGCATGACATGCTACATTGCTTGTTCAAAGATGAAGGAAGAGCATGCTGAAGATGGTGGTGTGGGTTTTATGGAACCTGCTAATGCATACTACAGAATACACTGACTTGTATACTGGGAACTTGGGAAGTTATCTTGAATTAAATTTTCTTTGCCTCTAGGTTTTCTCACTTACCGTGAATCTTTGGCCATTTTTGTCGGTGAGTGAGGAAGGGTGGAAGCAACTTTAATCCCACAGATTAACATGACGTAAACTTTCATTATTGCGTCACAATTTCTTAAGGTGGTGCCGCAAAGGACTTTAAGAAGGCAAAGCCACGTGCAGACCCGATGACAAAACTGAAGCAGTACGTGGAGAAGAACAACCTGCGTCTGGTCGACCTCTTCAACCAGTTTGACAAGGACAAGAGCATGAGTGTCACCAGGGAGGAGTTCGCCCAGGGGATAGAGGTTTGTAGTCTCTGTCCAGTAACAAAATGTAGATGTCACTTTAGCCCACTTCTTTGGTTCCAACGTGGCTTGAGAAGAACTGGCACTTGGCATAAGTCAAATCAAGCCGCACCCCTTTTATTAGTGAGCATGAGGTATGTAATCAGGTTTATCTGTCAAGGAATGAGACAAAAGAAAAATGTTACTCATTAAAGCAACTGCATAATATACTTATTAAAAATTATCCAGTGACTGTTGAGTTTTCTTTCATACTAGTATCTCATCACGTACATGTAGATACCTTCAGTTATGTCTCGAGTAATAGAACTAATGAATAGATACCAGTGTGAGCTTGTGCTTTGAAGCAGGGAGTAAAGTTTGCTGAAGAATTGTTTCTGGGCATTTGACAGAAGGGTGTTTTGTTTTTCTGATTTGAACTGATTGTATGTAGAGTCACAGTGCCATTTTCCTACACCTACAGGCTACGGGGATTGACCTGTCTCCTGATGAGTTGAACCGACTCCTGGACACGTTGGACAAGGACGGGGACGGGGAGATTGAATATGGGTGAGTACCATTTCTCTGGAAGTGTGTGACAACAAAGGTTCTAACCATATGAGGATGGCTGACATTCTGGCCATTCAGAAATTTCTGAGAGCCTTGAGATCAGAGATGATCATGTGAAATGTGCCCTGCGACTGTCACAGCAAAGACGTTTGTAGGCACTTCTGTTCTACTCGTGTGGGATAACTAAAAAACTTGAATCTTAACAACATTACTGCTGTGTGGTTTTGCTCGCAATCTGCTCTGAGTCTTAATATTAAGTAATACTGCGAAACTGAAAGACTGCATAGCTTGAAAAGGTTGCTGCAATGCACTGCGCTTTGTGATTGCTGTAATGCTGCTTTGTGTGGCGATTTCCGTACTCTTGCGTTGTTTTGCCGCAAATTTGCAACAGAGAGCTTTCAGAGGCCAGCAGGAATTTTTCAGTTACCGAGCAACGTTTGCTGCTGCGTGATGATTCTCGCTGTCACAGAAAACTGTCTTCCTCTCTGTCTCAACGACCCGCCAAAGATTAAGTAGTTACGGAGATGGGTTGTCCCTTTGAAACATTTGTCTTGGCTGGCAGTGGACTGAATTTCAGCACAGCATAATTGATCGAAGTGCTACATGTGGTGCAAAATATGTACCTCACTTTTTCTCAGGCACTTTAAGGCTATCTACTATCAGGTCCAGAACCTATTATATGAAAGAGCTTTGTTCTCTTACATGTGCTCTTATATCTGTCAATTATGCTTCTTTGTGTGAAGTGCTTTGAATTTCTGAGTGCTGTGCTTGCTGTGTTACTATAGACAGTCTGATATAATCTCTTTACTTATAAGTTCTCCCCTGAGTCCAGTGCTGTAGATGTTTCTCAATCTCACCAAACACGTTTCTCTCCCAACCTACCGCATCCCTTGCCTTTTGCCTCCGTGGATACATAGTGGTATTGGGTATGTATAACTGTTCTCTCTCTTATTCAACTAACAGTCTTGACAAAACAAGCCATGCACATCAGAAATAGTTATGAACATGAGAACCTCCTTATCATTCACGTTTTGATGTTACAGCAACCGTTATCTTGCTTTTAGTAATGACCAAGTACCCAGGTTCAAATCAATATTTGTAGTACAGAGAATTCTGAGAAAGGCTTCCAAGTGGTTGGGTAAGTTTGCTAATATGCTAACTACATGTATGACAAAGTGTATGCATTGAATACTACACAGTATAGTCTCCTTTTTAGAACATTACAAGCACTCAGACAAGGAAACAAATTCTTTGTAGCACAGACTTGTCCACCTGTGAGGAAATCGCACTTGGTCAAGTTGCTGGATTGTCCGTAGACATGTCCGTGTAGTGATGTTTTGAATTGCCATATAGTGTCTGGTGTGTATGGTTTGTTCCCACCTCTCCAGGGGTAAGTAATCTGTTTTTCCAGTAGGACTGGTTAGACCGGCCACACCAGTTCAATTTGTTGGGTCTCAGACCTTAAAAGGTACATGTAATTTCTATTTAGAAGATCAACATGGAAAACATGGAATTCAAAGCATACAGGTCTGGCATTCAGGCTTATAATTCACCAAATGGAAGGGGATACAAAACAGGACTGGTGATTACTACTAGTTTCTCCCCTGCATTAAAAAAGAACCTGAGAAGGTCTGAGAACCAACAAACTAAATTGGCATGGCCTCATCAGTAGGGTGTTGGGAGCATCTTTAGTTTGTGTAGTTTGGTTCCCAACATCCTGCTGACTACACCAGTCTGCTGATTCCCTATTCCTGGACTCCTGTGTGTGGTTAGGTCAGTTATGTTAACTTACACTACGTTTTGTCATTCAGATGTGAATTTTACCGAGTTAGATGAAAATATTAGAAAGGATTAAGATAAGAATATTGAATGACAGAAATTGTATGAAACAGACCATCATTTGCTTTGCAGGTTGGCATATACATGTATGTCATAAGAAGTCATTACGAAGCAGGTTTGATTGAACTCAGTGATTTTTAACTAAAGAAATTGGACTTACCCATTACAACTCCAGTCTTTTTCAATAAATCAAACAAAATTATTAATCAGAGATAGAGCTGTGTACCTAAACAAATTTTAGGTACAGGTACAGGTACAGGTACACAGGTTTAGGTACAGGTCCGGACCTGAACCTGTACCTGAACAATTCGACCAATTTATATGCTCTTCTGAACTCCTTCAATAACAAAAAAACATAAATAAACTTGATAGTTAAGGTTTATTCTTTGTTTATGGCGAATGCTCAGATAAAATTTTTGTTTTTGTTTTCATGAACACACTGTCCTTACACAGGGACCCATTGTTAACCAGCTATTTACACATTTGAGGTCACAAATAGGCATAAAATTGGTGTGAAATTGTTTAGGTACAGTACCGGTACTGAGGGATTAGGTATTTTGGACCTGTACCTAATCAATTTTTCCGGTACAGTATCGGTACTGTGTACCGGTACACAGCTCTAATCAGAGACAATCTAGATGTAGTAGAATACTTTAGTAGTTTGATAATCCAGAGTTAAGTTATTCAAGTACTCATGTTTTGTTTGTTTCCTTTTCCCGGGACAGAGAGCTGGTGTTCGGAGCGCAGGCCCACCAGGAGCAGGAGAGAAAGATGGCCAAGGTGGTAGAGGCTCTCCAACAAACTGACTTAATCTCATAACACTGCATTCTGGGATTAACGGGTCATGTCTTCCCAGGGTGCATCAGAGGAATCATGATGCATGCTGGGATGTAACCTTGCAGTACTAACTTTAATTTGCCGTGTGGTGTGTGCCAAATAATACGGACTAATTTCATCCTAACAAAGGTGCAAAGGTGGTGGAACGACATAATGTCATAGTCTCCACCAGACTCCTTTGCAGGCTGAATAAATAGTAGAAATCGCACGCAGGCAAACTGGACCCTCTATGGCCGGCCAACTCCTCTGGCCAATGATGTTCCCCTTAGACTATTTATTCAGCCTGCAAAGGAGTCTGGTTGGGACTAATAATGTCATCAGCATAACAATTACATGACATAATAACATAAATCAAAGCAGATAGATAATTACAAATTTAAAGACAATGACACCTGACGTCTCTTGATACTTAGTTTAAACTAAGTTGTTACATGTTGCAAGTTTTGTCCCTGAATGCTTTGAACTCAATGATGAAATTTTTTTGACAAAGAAAGAAGCAAAGGGGGTTCCAAAGATGAAAGAGATTGTGTATCATTTTATATTTTCTTGAAAAAAAGTCTCTCAGGAAAGTTTGTTTACAAAATTCTAATTCAGTTCAATTTTCAGTGAATGCAGTGATTTTTGGTGAATTGCTGGTTAAAACATCAATTGAAAGCAGTGAAGCACAAGTTTTTAATGAATTTTATAGATTTTTATTTCTGAAATTTGATATGAAATGATTTTGCCTAATACAGGAAAACTTAAAATTATATCATCAAAACTTCCATATAGATGGCATGGAAAAGTTTTTTGAAAAACGTTTTAATAGCAATTAATTTTTAAGATAAACTAACATTTGTTTAATTTGTTTGCTCATTAGTCGCATTTTAGTCATGATCATGGGGAGGTGTTGGTACCATTTCATTTTACATCGTGGTTTGTGCACGTGTGAAGCATGTTTTGGGACCTTGCATTGCAGGCGCGTGCGTGCTAGCCCAGCGGACAGGCATTGTTTGCGGAAAAGCTGAAATACAGTCATGTACTCTGGAGCACACATGGATACATATGACATGTACTGGGTTCACACTTTGTAGCATCCTTTAGTTTAGAAACTGTATATTTGTGTATATTTGTAGTAACTCTTTTTTTTTTTTTTGCTTAGTACCTCATAGGGGTAAATTTGGGATGGTTTCTGATAGTAGTAATTGTTCATGTACCTTGTACATGTATATATGTACCTTGAGAATGCATTCAGTTTCTGAACATTCAGTTTTATTCCTCATCTTAAAAAGATGTGCAATACCGATAGTCTGACTTGCATTTTTTTTAGTTTTCAAAATCACCTGGGCTTAATTACATGTAATGTAATTGCAGGTAACAGAAAAAAATATTTCTAGTGAGTAATACGTGTAGTCCAGTGATGTTTTTTTAGGCAGGGATGCCTGTTTGTGTGTGAACCCAGGTATATGTGCTTTGTACACGGTGCTCAGATTGGATGAAAATTGAGCCCCAGACATGTCAAGAAAAGGACACTTTTCCCCGTTTCCCAAAAGCATTCTGCATATTCTGCATGCGCTTGGGTTCAGGTTTGGTATGGAATTTGGCACTGGTGAAACGGTGGTGGTCACGTTGAGTTTCTTCACAAAAATGAGCCCGAAATTGATACATTTCAGAAGAGAATGAAGAAACAGAAACAGACTCAAGCTTGAAGACAACACAAATGGAGATTGCTGCACTTTTTTTTTTGCTGAACTGCCTTTTTGCGTTCAGTATTCAAACGCGAGACTTATTACATCTTTTATATGATACAGACTATGTTAAGATACATTTGTGAAATTTTTCCAATATTGGCAAATTTGTGCTACAAATTAAGTCTTCCTATTAAATGATTTTACAGGAAAATATTATAATAAAATGGAATTGAGGGGGATACAAGTTCTGATACTAATGTAAACTTGAACTTGCAATATTGTAAAACATGCAATAGTATCTACATGTAGGAAAGGCTTGCCAACAGTATAACAGTTATAGTCAGTAGTATTGGTTCAATATTAAGATTTTGTAACCATTCAAAGCAGTCAATGAGGTACTGTATAACAGCATGTTTTTGGAGAAAACTTTGTTTGATCAAGGACATTACATGTATATGTCCTTGATGGTATGTCCAAAGTTGGACCTGTGGAAAACCATCTGGGAGGTATGGTTAGAATTGTAAAATGGAAACTATGGAGGAAATTTTCCCAATGTCAGTCCAAACTAACTTTAAAAAGTTGCAATGATGAATTATGGTGGAGGCAAAGTGTATATATTTAATGTTGTTCAATGTGTTGGTTTACGGGCAGTTGTAAAGTAAGGGTTATGTGTAATAGAAAGTTATATGGCTAACATGTCATCACTGCTACTTCAAAAGTATACTGTCTATTAGATTCTTCTGGAACACTAAAAGTACTGTATGTATATATAGGATGTGAATATTTCATAGGTTTAAAGTGTTTTAAAGATTGTAATTGTTGTTTATCTTAATGTTTTATCATGTAATTTTGGAATCTGATTTGTATTGACACCTGGTATAGAGATTATACTTGCTATCAAGTAGTTTGTGGTTGGATTTACCTTTGAACCACCTGATGCACCTTTAAATTCTCCCCTGGTTTGCTGTGAAACTGACTTTCTAAGACTTAGTGTGTTTCTTTCTGAGTAATAAATTCCCAACAAGAGTAACTGTTGGTAAGTATGTGATTGTTTTTGCTAACAGTGCATTTCCACCCAACTTTCAAAACCTTTCTTCAGTTAAATACTTGACATGTCTTATAAGCAGTATAGAATATAGTGGTGAACAAAATCGGGAACAATTTGAGAAACGCTGAACAAAAAAGTCAAATTCCTCTGCATGTTCTAACTTTTGACCCTTTTTCTTCAGCATTTCTTTTCCTGAATTGACCACAATTTTAAATTCAAATCAGTACCCTACAGAAAGGGAAACGAAATTAGTTTTTGAACCCCCAAAAAGTTTGTGTTAAAACAGGATGTGTTATTCAGAACTACTAACAGTCAATTTGAATTGGCATTTGACCAAGTACCTTTATTGAAGGGTAAGGATTGTTGACTCAAGAGTGCTTCATTTTCTCCCGTGGCCGTTTTCCTCTTTGTCCCATCACGCTTATTGAGCAAACATTGGGTATTTATTGACTTCCTCTCTCGAAAACAAGTTGCCCCATGCTGAATTGTAAAACGTGACAGGTAGCTGTCAGGCATTGAGCCAATAAGAACACAAACTTGACAAAGAATAAACAAAACATGTGGGGGGGAATCAAGACCCCATAGGTCCCTTTAATGACCTTCCCTCCACCAAGGCATTTTGAATTAGTTTTCTCCATCCCGGAATCAAAAATATCGTAATTCATTTCATCACAACATAGAAAAGAATGTATTGTTGAACTATCAAACTCCTTTTCGCTAATATTTCAAGGATGACAGAAAAATTTGATTGTTTGTCTTCCCTGATGAAAACACCTGTGGGGTCTTTAAAGGCAAACTTTCCAAGTTTTCTCAAGAATCCTGTCTTTATCAAAACTGTTTTGATTCAATTTGTTCAGGAGGGATTACGCCTGAGCTGTTTTTTCTGCCAGGCTAAAGGGGAACAAAAGGGCACAGTTGTCTTTCTTCTCACTCGACTAGTAATGATGAAAAGCTAAGCATGTAGAACAAGTAAGGGGAAACCACTTGGCACAAATCAGGCGTAAACCAGAGGGCCTGGTGCTGAAAACGGCCACCTACCGTAAATTGTTCTTTTTTTGGCTAAGCCTTAATATGGGTCTTCGAACAATCTTCTAAAACATGCTTGGAGGTACAAAATGCTGTTTCGTTGACGTTTTGCTCAAAAGGGCATTTGATTCTTTCGTGGTGACCAAAATTTTTATGATGTGTTCATCTTTATGAAGTCTGATACAAAAAAGTGATGGCAAAAATTTGTGATGATATAGTGTTTCTGTGCTGCTCAATTCTCTGCCCCACAGAAAGGGTCAGGCCATGATGTGACGGAACTTTTTCAGGGAAAGATTTTTTCAACTCCTCCAGACTTGCACTTTTTCTCCTGCTGGACTTGTGCTTTCTTCGTCTCCTACTTTCCTGAAGTCTTGGCTGCAGTGCTTGTTGTAGGTTACACTTGTGGTAGTTGTGTGAACTGTTACACCTGGCTCCATGGCGAGAGTGGCAGCAGGTAAGTACCACCATGTTCACTTTGTTTGTTCTGCATGCCTCGTGTGCCCACTGCATTCCTAGGTTTCTACTCACCTGTGCTATTCTTCAAGTTAATATTGTCTTGAAGGCTGGTGCCTTGTGAACTTGAATGTTGTTAGACTGCACCACAATCATGCACTTTATTTAAATTTTTTGCACCAAGAGTTTTGGTCACCATTTGTAAGAGTTATTGTTTCACAACCAGCTGAGTGTGTTATCATTGTTATGAGGTCAAAAATTGCACTTTATTACTGATACCAGTTGCAGTGTAGCACGTTTAGTTGCAGTGCAGCAATTCTATAACTCAGCACACCATTTATAACTGCAAAAACATCTGTGCACATTGTCTTTCAATTTAATGTCAAGAGTTGAGGTTGGCAGACCTCAAGTTTTCATCTTAGTCTTCATTCTTCAGAAAAGGGTACATATCTAAAGTCACAAATTGTAGTGCATCCCACCTTTTTTTATTTTGCAGAAAACCATACATTCAATTCGCACCCTTTTCAAAAAGACTAAAAGTTTGTACAATTGAAGCCCTTCAGAAAAGTTTGAGTCTACCAGCCTTCAACTTTGAAACTGTGACATTTCCCCGATTCATTTTTGCTTTCTTGAACACCCGTAGACGATCGCCCAAGACGTGCTGACGGCCCTGCGGATGCACATTGAGAAGCGCGGTCTGCGGATGTGGGACGTCTTCCGGGCGATGGACGAGGACGGAAGCATGACGGTTTCCCGGGAAGAGTTTAGGGTTGGAATCAGGGTGAGGAGTCCTCCCGAGTCTTTACCCTGACTCCAATCCTGACCTCTTCAAGTATGGCGCGATGATGCAAAAGAAAAATTAGCAAAAAAATTGCACTTAGCTCACCTGTGTTGGTAGAATTCAAGACATACTTTATTAGTTGCAAAAGAAAAATTAGCAAAAAAATTGCACTGAGCTCATCTATGTTGGTAGAATTCATACTTTATTAGTTGCAAAAGAAAAATTAGTAGCAAAAAAATTGCACTGAGCTCATCTGTGTTGGTAGAATCCATACTAAGTCTTGTAGTGTTTGTTCCAACACAAGAAAGGAACCTACCATAAATTTTTGGTCAAACTCATCAACCTTGGTCAGATGTATGATCCACTCACTGACTCTGGAAGTCAGAAGTGTGATGATGTCAGAAGTTGATGGGCATTTGTCTCACAAGAATATGTCTACAGTAGTTGTATTGTCCGCCATGCTTAAAGTTTCCAGGTAAAACTTGACAGCAATTTAATTTCTTGGGTCTCAGATTCAACTTTATCTTTCCTTACTCCATTGATCCCCCCCCCCCATAATCTGAGGCTCAGGAAATTGAATGCCTTACCAGTGTATGTAATCTGATATGTTTGATAGTTTCTGACAGCTATAAGAGCATGTTTTGTTCATTTTGCTTTGTTTTGAGTGTAGCTAATATCCTGCTGTATGGAAGTCTGTATTGAACACTTCTGACCCCGATGTTGGAAGAGAGGTCTAAGGATATGGCAATAGCATCTTCATTTTTCAGGCTTTGATTCTATAAGCTTACTGTATTATAATATAAGTGTATACAGTGTTCCTAGAAGACTGTACAGTTAAGGGGAATCAGAAGAAGAGAATTCCCATTTAATCTTTCTCTGGTGTAATCCTGCTGCTCCCACAGAACACTGGCATTGAGCTGGAGGATGAGGAGCTGGATGTGCTGATTGATTATTTGGACAAGGACGGGGATGGAGACATTGACTACGAGTGAGTTTATCACCAATTACTAGTATATGCAGGTTTCGGAATGATCGATCAATCAATCAATCTGTTGGTTTATTGATAAAAGATACTGCAGCTGATGACTGAATCATGCGTTCTTGTACATATTATATAGTATTGCACTTTGTTTACATCACAGCCCTAGTTGCATGCATTGAAAAGTTAACATATGCACACAATTAGACTTAAATCAGCTCGAAACCTAGTACTAGTACCTACTCCCTAGTGCAATTATTTGAACATTGGAGCACCACAGATGATCTGACAACCAGTTTTTTCCACCCTTCTCAGTGTTCTGTACTTCTCAGTGTTTAACTTAGTGTCATGCAGGTCCATTCTCAAACAAACTACATGTAATACTGAACTGAAGTACTAAGTATTAATCAGCTTAACATCTGACACCCAGAGAGCTGGTTGAGGGAGCAGAGGAGTCTGCACAGGAGACAGAGGACGAGGCAGGCGGGGGGGATGATGGAGGAGGGGAGGAGGATGGGGAGGATGAGGAGGAGGATGCATAGGAGGAGGAGGAGTGAGGAAAGATGTAAACGGATGTCTGCCAGTATTAACATCACTCAGTCTAATGGATGTTTGACAGTATTAAGATCACATACTTTAGTTTAACAGATGCCAGATCTTTATATTGATTATTAGCAGATCTTTATATTGATTATTAGCAGACATCACTAAACTTAACAGATGTCTGCCAGTATTAAGATCACTTAGTTTAACAGATGCCATTTCTTGATATTGACATCCATCTCTTAGCTTATCGGATGTCTGCCAGTATTAAGATCATGTAGCTTTCATCTCCACATGTCTTGCCATCTTGTAGAGGAGAAGTGAAGATGAGATGACAGATAAAAGGGTGATGATGATAAAAGGTGAAATGAGGAAAGATGTCTAAAATTTCTCAGTATTATCACTGATTTTTCATCTCCATATGTCTTGCCATTGATAATATGAATTAATTCATGTCAATCTTCACAATATATACAACATTTAGGGTATAGAATTTTCTTCTTACACAACCAGGAAGGTTCTCACCTGCTTACGTTTCGATGTCTATCAGACACCTTCCTCAGAGCTTCTGACTGGAGTTCTGCAATTCGCCGCTATAACG